GATGCGCACACATACACACACACACATCAATGAATGCTAAGAACTTCAGCTGTATATTTTAATAGAAATAAGAAACTGAGGAAGAATTCATTTAAGGAAATAGGTATAGAATAAGATGAATATAACAAAAATTTAAAGTTTTCCAAAGAACAGAGTCAACTCGAAATAAAATAAACCTTGAGGGCCTATAATTAGTTTTATTTTAAATATGTTCATGTGTGTGTGTGTGTATGACAAAGTGTGTGAGAGATAGAGAGAGACAACGGGATAGAGTTGGAAATGAATACGGCCAACTTGAATGTGATACATAGGATAAGTTAACTGTAAGCACGAATCTATTTTGAGACTAGTGCTTAATCAGAAAATATACACACCTACATATGCATAGATTCACTCACATATAGTAAGCTATTTGTCAGTTATTTTTTTCAAATTCACGTGGTAAGACTCAATACCATAAATAATACGAGGATGATAATAATAATAATACTACTCACTGTAAATGGATAAAGTTAGATTACCAAAAAACAGTTCTTGTAACCCAAAAAGACCGGAAGTATCACTAGTGGTAGTAGTAGAGCAAAATAAGAAAATGGTCAAATTAGGACGATAGTAATAACTGGAATAGATACACACGCTAACATATATATATACCCTTAGTAGAATAAAAGTAGGTCAGGTTATCATAAACCGAAAATTTGTCTTTTTCTTTAAGAGCTATTAGAGAATCAAATCTCGACTGTGTGTTTATGTAAATATGTGTGAGTGTGTCTATGTCCCATGATATTTATAACATGGTGTAAGTATTTCATACTATATTAGTGACTACTTTCCCATATACATTCATTTTAACTATACAAAACTAATATCGGTAAATATACTCATGTATGTATATTACATGGAAGTACATTGATGCCTAGTCATTTAGATATGTATATGACAAGTGAAAAACGAAACCATGAGACGTCAATGTAGACAAAATATTAAAACTGTTTCTCGAGATTTTTAGGAAGCAAATTAGGGTGGCATCAAATAGACCTATAAACACAGAAATTATTTTCCAATACAAATGTATGCCGGAAGTGAACAGTAGTAAAAGTGGTATTATTTGGAAAAGTAAATAAAGTTTTACTATTATCAGTAGTCATCGAGTTTAATATTCTAATCATCATTATTAATGGAGACAATAAGAGATGATTGCATTTCATGATGTCAAATTATTTAATCCTTAAAAATATTATTATTATTATTATCGTAACAAATATTGTTGAACTTACGTATGGAATATATGGTTATGTAGACTAGGTGTTGAGGTTTTAGGAGGTTTGAGGTAGGTGGCCAACAGCATAAGCTGTTTAACTTGGTTTTGCTAGTTGGCACTAGTCGAGAAGACATAAATGTAATAATAAAGAAACTGATGCTGACTAAACGAATAGAATCTGGTTGAGTTAGAATTTCTATAGACTTTGGATCAAATGATTTGCAACTTTGGTCAGAGTTTTTAATTACCTATTGTTGAAATTCAGAAAAACAGTCGACTAGTCTCTGTTGTTATATGTGCATCCTGAGCGAACTGCCTTGATATGGCATTGGGTCATGAGTTATAGTATATTTGGTACGTAGTTAACAGTGGAATCTAGAACACGCGTTTCATCCCACTTGGAACTCTTTGGTATTGAAGTACACATCCAAGATCGAACTCGCTATATATTGACTCAAAAATGAACGCGTTATCCACTGTGCTACTGAGTAGGTATAGTCATTAAAATGCTTAACAGTCGCGAAGGTGGCTATTTGGAATCAGTGTCACAGTGAATAGAGCACTTGAGTTTCAACTGAAAATTACTGGGTTTGAGTTTCGATTCGAACATCAACAGTATGTTGGAACTGACATATCCCAACTGGAGTAAAACATGTGTTCTGGGTTCCACTGTTAGCTACGAACTAAATATACTAAAAGTTTTTAATTAACGTCATTTCGGGACAATTAGCTTAGGAAGCACATATGACAATAGATAATGAGCAATTCTAGTCCTGAACATCAGCAATAGGAAGTTACAAATCCTTAATAAAGTTACATAGCAGTTGATGCAAAATCCTTAAAAATCTAATCTAAGATTCTATACCAATCAATTAGGCCAGTAAAAGTATTCGAATGAACGGAGCTCTGTTTTACTGAGAATAATTCTTACATTATTCAACTGCTTCTTTTAAAAAAGGTATTCAGGTTATTTAAGATCAATGTGTATTATTGAACTAATTTGTAAAAAATTCTTATTAATTTTCAGCCATTCTGGACCTTAACTGAATAACAACATAACACTTAATTTCACTTGGCTTGAAACCAGTAACTCCAGCAGTTCAGTGTCTATTATGTTACTTTCTAGACAATTGAACACTGAAAGCTGATTAATCATTCAGTAACAGGCAACGTAGAACCTGGCATCTATATTCATTGACTCAGTTTGTTACAACATATCAGTAGGGTCAGAAGAAATTATCAAGATAACTATCAGAGTAACAGAAATTGTGACGGCATCACTAGTAGTAAAAAAGAATAATTATAAACAAGTTAATCTGGAATGAAGGGACGTATTCGTGAAATAAAATATATAGGTATTTTGCGAGAAAGAGTGAATGTTTCTACGTACTAGCTATGATAGTCGCGTAGATCATAATGAGGTAGTCTGCATCTGCTTACCCAACTGATATGGGAAGAGATAAACACTAAAACGAACTTTACTGAAATTTAAAATCAATAATTCTGGAAAATTTATATTAGTATGTTTTAATCATTTATTTTAAGGAAGCAGTCCCATTCTAGGACAAAACAGCCGTCCAGTACTTTCAGGTTTTCAATGGTGACCGAACTTGATTCGGTTCACGATTTCAATGAAATACAACATTCTTCACAACCCTTTGTTGACAACTGTTATGTGCTCACTAGTGACTAGCTTTGAGAAAGAATTTGCGGAGTTCTAGTAAGAAGTCATAACTAGTGGAGCTAATCCATATAGGCTACGAAAGGTGGTCTCTTGATGTCGTGGATTGATGGAAGTCAGGCATTAATGTTGTCAGATGCCGACTCAGTGGTCTAAAGGTTAGACGTTCTCATGTGAGACCGAAGGTCCTGGATTTGATTCTCACGTGCAGGTCCGCTAATGCACACTGTTGAAGAGTCCCATATTGGAACGAAATAACCGTCCAGTGCTTCCAGGTTTACAATGGTGGTTCAACCTAGATTGATTCATCATTTCAATGGAATTTATTTATTTATTCTAAACAATAATTATTAGTCAAGAATTAGTCACACCTGTTCACACCTTTTGATATCTAATAAACAATATACATGTATACCTATGCGTATTCATTTTGTACTGTAGAATATTTATTTTTATTTCAAACTTTTAGATACAGCTCAAAATGTAGTAATTGACAAGTAACCATCTGCTTTGAAATTTTTTTGCTCATTCACAAGTACCACTATTACTACTATCAGTGCTACTAGTAGTAATGTTAGTAATGATAATGTTTCTCATTATTATTATTATTATTATTATTATTATTATTATTATTATTATTATTATTATTATTATGGTATATATTAGCGTAAGTAAGTAAAGTATAAATGTCATAAAGAAATAGTTAATTTTTTCATTTCATACAAAAATATGTTACACTAATAAAAATTATACAGTTAAACTAACAACAATAAAATTAATTGTAAAAGACAAAAGAGAAAAGAAAACCACCAAAGGAAGACATTTTCTTTGCCCATAGTTCTTGACACAATAATGGACATGAGATGTAGAAAAAAAAGCAAAATAAGATAGAATAGAACAAAAAGCAACAACAGTAACAACAACAAGTAAAAATGTGTAACATATAATGATCTTCTTTCTACCCCCTAATCTCTCTCTCTCTCTCTCTTTCTCTTCCTCCTTATATCTGATTCTCTTATACAAGAATACATAGATTGTAGAGAAAGTGATAAACATTAAGATAAAGTAATGGAATGTATGGAACTTGATGATGATGTATATTTAAGGAATTATTCTATATTTTTTTAAAATAAAAAATTAACTTAACAAATGTAGACAAGTTTCTATATACATACATACATAACTTATAAAAAACTGAAACAGATGAATGTAACTAATATCAAGTTATATAGATTAAAGAATTTAAGATAGTGAAATAGTTTTCTTGGAAAAACGAAAAAAATTAAACTCAAGAAACGCAAAATAAATGAAAGAGAATTTAACACAATATGCAGTAAAACAAACAAACAAACAAGCAAATATTGCATACTTAGATATGTGTATAAACTAATCATACAGAGAAAGAAACTATATCATGGTATACATGTTATACAAGACACGAGATAACAACAACAACAACAACATCAACTATAATAACAATGAGAACATGATAGGATACATGTTATACCTGAAGAAATATCTCCGTACACACTACATATATATATATATATATATATATATATATATATCATAAACAAGATAGGTAACAGGTGGTCAGTCAAAGATAGTCATTAATCACCATTCTCTTTTTTCATTTTCATAATAATGACGGGAGAAAAAGAAAATCGAAATAATTTTTTTCTTCTACAATTATATATTTTATAAATTAAATGAAACTAAAAATGAAACACTGAATTATAAAATTTTGTTTAAATGAGACAAAAGAGGATGAAGAGGTGTATGTGTGTGTTTTTTTCCCCGAAAATTCTGTTCAGAATTAAATTTATTGTATTGATGTATTTCTAGTCGAGTTCAAACATGTCGGGAGTAGAACGACTGTCATCAAGGGGATTTGATGATTGTTATTAATATATTGTGAATGGATTATATTTGGAATTATACTATTGGACACCGATTCAATGGCGTAAATTGCTAAGCCTCTGCTATGAAATCTAAAAGTTCTAGCTTTATTCCCTATCAGGGTCATGCCTTATTTTTAGCCTTTCTAAAATATCATAATTATGGACTTATAACTGTCGAGCCTGATGATGAAGTTATTGAAAACAATTGGTTGCTCAAATATTCTTCATGGACATTAAAATAAGAACTTTCAAATCTGACAATGAAAATGGTACTTTTAGTTTGGTAAGTTAGAATTTCATTGTTCATTTATTCAATTTCAGTCAGTTTTGGGGTGATTGGCATCAGTCATGCAAACGCCATACATCTGTGGACAACTGCTACATGCCCACACATTTTCTTGAATTGGCTGAACTACAATAGTTACAACCTATCATCAGAACTCCACGAATCTCCATGTTGAAACCAGCAAAAATAGGTGAGTTGGTGAATCAGAGCCACCCTCAGGCAATATAATGTTTCACTGAAACTTTGCATCTTGAACAGGATACACATTATATTATATTTTCTCTTATTAACAAAAGCTTAAACTTTGAGTAAAGTTTCTTCCATTAAAAAGTCATTGAATAATTCTTTGGTTACATAGATGTCGGTATACATTATTCAACATAAAAAAGGAAGAAAAAACATCATCAACATACTTGATTCACAGGTCAGTTTCTTGAAGTTCTAGGTGCTGTTTGAAGGTGTAGAGAAAGCGAACCGAGAGAGAGGGAGAGGGAGAATCAAAGACAAAAAAACAAACAAGTTAAGTGAAGAACAAGCAAACTGTTATTTCAAAATGTATTATTATGACTATTAACATCTATTTTTAGTAGTAAGATTTGTTTAATTTATTTACTTAGTTAAAAAGCTACTAATCATTTGATAAAACGTTTATCTGTGGTAGAACAATACATTCTCAAAATCAGTTTTGTTTATCACTGGGCTATCATTGGTTTATGACTGATCTCCTGCAATGATTGGGATATTTTATCATTAGCTAGCTAAATACTAACAAAAAATAATGTGATAATACAATCCCATTAATGCTGATTCGATTCGATCGATCAACTTGCAATGTGTTGGTTAGTGTCTAAGGTTTTTATATCATAAACACTACGCTTTGATGTATGGTGAATGAAACTGTTAGACAGGGACTAACGCTCCATGACTTCAAAGTCATTATAGAACTGTTACTGTTCATGCGATTGGATAGCATTAAATAATGCCATGGTTGATGCTTGAGTTAGACCGCTTCAATGGTGAACAAACTTTCGTCAACAATTCACTTATAGATAAATACTCATAAATACCCGTTTTGTGTAAATTCATTATCTTGTAATATGCAGGTTAGCGAGTAAGTGATAAAATATTTTCACTCACTTTCGATTACGAAAACATATCTGGTGAATGACTAAATATAGGATCGCATTCCACCCATATTGGTTTTATTGTATTCATTCTGCGTAATTAATGCTTATTATCATTCAGTTTCGACGTCTACTTCATACATGAATGTCAAGTAGCTATGTTTTAACTATTTAGACTTTTACTACTTAATTAATTATCAGTAGTTAATCGTAAGATTTGACCTTTGAAAAATAAAACTTACCTGCACTTTTGCAGCAACCGGATCGATGAGTATTGTTGGAACATTTTCTGCTTGCAGATGTATGCTTTGACGATTAGGTTTGACTATTTCTTCGGCCTGTCGAAATACATATAAATGCAAGGTTAGTGAGCCAGTTATAAAAAAAGCTTTATAAATTAGCAATAAATATTTTTTGGAGGTGTCAATTGACTGACTCTAAATTTTAACTTCATTTTGTGATGCCAAGTGTTCAGCTAAATACTATCCGAGGGACTACTGAACGTTATAACAATGATATATATGGGAATATCAATAATATTGTTTCATCATCCAAGGAAATTATATGGAACTTCATTCGTTTATACCAAGTTACAATATAGCTTTCTTTAAAAGGATGAATAAAAAAAATACCCTGTAGGGATCACCATATCGGAAATGCACATTTGTTTCGGGTTTGGCCGCCGTCAAACGTATTATTGATGACATTATTTCAGGCTAAATCTTGAACTAGATCATTGAATTATAAGCTTGGAAACTGGAATTTTCTATGGTGATAACGTTAGTTGATGCACTATCAGACACCTGGTTTCAATAACTACCTAATGATTGGCGTTTTTTTAAAGCCTGATTCGAATCATGACTCAATGATCTTAAGGCTTTAAATTATGGACTAATGGTTGATTTTGAAGGCAAATTTTAATATTTCAGAAGGATATTTGATTATCGGTACTCACAATTGATCGATCAATTTCATACGCGTCCAGTCCTTATTAGTGCAGATCGCCACTCAGTGATCAATCAATTGTGGCTACATCTCAGTCCTACAGGAGGTCGGTCGCTGCTCAGATAACTCAATGGTAACGTTTCTGACTGTGAAGCTGGGTGACACGAGATCTAATTCGCCAGGGAGCACCAGTTCCCTCAAGATTACAGGTACACCTTGCTGACGAGTGCCAAGTAGCACGAAAACCGGGTCCAGGGTTTCCTGTCGACTACCTCCAACCACCATCTAATCTCGATTATCGGTACTGTCAAATCGATTACGATAAACATAAAACTGTAGAATATTTGATTTTCAAATGACCACACTGTGTACTGATTGGATGCATAATGAGACTGAATGGGCAGATGAAACCACAAATCTACAGACTGCTAGTTCAGTTAAAAATCTCTTACAGAGTAAAAAAGCAAGGAGTCCATGGGATTGCTCATGTATATCATGACACCACTAAGCAGAAGAGGTTAATGTTGACTTCCAGGAAACAAGCATTTTGTATCCGTACCGCGATTTTTGTGAATAGTGTTGTTTCTCAGTAACGTGAATTTATCTACTCAGTTTACTTTACATAATACGACAGAGAATCATGAAAATCCACTCGTCCTTTAAAAATGTTCTCGTGTTGCTGCGCATTTATAGCTACTGCAAGGGCAAACGCGAGCGAGCACTTGTTACATTTTTCATGGAGCCATGGAAATAATGAGTGTAGTCGCTTTAATGTTAGTATAACGTCCAGCTTATAAGTACTAGATTAAGAAACCCGTTTCAACTCCTCTGAGTCACTGGCGGCAAGAAGTCTGGTGTAAGTGAGGTTGGTGGGATGTCGATCAACAAGCTTCAACAGAATCTTGGATCATGAGTAGAAATTTTTGAGGAACAGCTCTCCAGGTTCCATAAATCACTAAGCCCAGTCGACCTACTTCAATGTTTCTTTAAAGAAGGTAGAGAACCTCTGGTTAGATAACTGACTGGGTTGTTTGGACGGTTTTGAGAAATAGATGACATTATGTAGATTTTTAAAAGTTCCTACAATTGCTTCTTGAAACGTACCAGAAACCGAAAAATTCTCCTCCAGACTAACCGGTGAAATTCCAGAATTTATTACTGGCTTTTATATACATTTCAATTTATAGATGATACTATGATTTTGGGGTCTCACTTGCATTTGTACACGACATCTTTTTCCTTCTATACGTAAACAAATCACACAGTAAATTTTCAAATATAGTCATATGAATCTAGAATTTGATCATGAGTTAAATCATCACTTCACTGCTTCTAAATTGAGATAGAATAGTAAAAGTTCTCTTCTTTTCAAATAAGGAGTAGCTATACAGTGGCTAGCCGTAGTATTATAATGGCAATCCGGTAAGGCTGTATATATCCCAATGGAGATTGATCAAGGGGAAAATTAACAGTACTTACAAATAGGTTATAGTTGTTTTACATGTCATTTAGCCAAAAATCATCTCTCCATTTTCATTCAATCTTTTTTACTCAATCCCATAATATTTTCTAGGTCAGTTGAAATCATCTTACTGTGTATTTGCCAATCATAATCAATACAATAAATTTAACTGCATTATGTTTACTACTGATAAATGGAAATTAAGTAGCAAAACATATGACGTAGTGCTGGGATCAAACGGATGATCGAGTAATTCATTTTTATTGATTTGTGACATATGTATTTTGGTGACATTAGTAAATAGATTCTCATGATAATTTATAGAAGGGTTGATTCAATATGACATTAATTTGTATTGTTCACATAATATTAATGAAGGAACTGGTCGGTTACACTAATAATGTAAAACAAATATTTACATAAATGAAGTTATTCAAATATTCTTTTGGAATCTGATATTTGGATGATAAAGTTCATTTTTGTTTTCCCTCTGTATTTCATGGGTTTAGTTGTATTGCGTTTGTGTAGGCTTAAGTGAATACAAGAATTACGTTTTCTGTAGTACATCAGCGGTGGGTTTGAAATCCAATAGTGTATACATTTGGTATTTAATAACAGTGTCAGTAGAAAATGAGAAACACTTTCACTTGTCAACAGTCTATTCGGGATATATACAAACTAGTGATAAAGTGAATGTCATTTTTTTTGAGAAAATATCTATGTATCTGTTCAGCTTCATACAGGTTTGAGAAAACACTGTTCATCCCTCCTACCTACAAATAATTCTCTAAGGTCAAATATTTATTTACCCAACTCCTTCGCCAGGTACAAATTAGTGTTCGTGGCTTCAGGTTAAACTCTTAACGTGGAGTTTAGTGACAATTTAAGGTTACTCAGATCGAAACAGTTTGGGCGTAATTCAAACATGCCAATTAATAGTTGTTAATCAAAAACCTTGCCCACTGAACCATCAGTCCACCTTAAAAATACAAGTGTTTGAATGGAACACGTATGACATTTAAAATGTAAACATAATGTTTATTATCGAGTACATGTACAGAACAAACTAATTGTGATAGTAAAACTTACAAAGATACTCGTATGACTGGCATCGATTTCAATAGGACAAACAAGCTCAGTACTTGCATCATCATCACCGACACCACTAACATGATTGTGATGGTTGGACTTGTGTCCACGGTTAGAATTGAAAATATTTTTCTTTTTCGTAAACTATTTATATTTTCAAAAGTGTTAGATAAAACGAGAAAAACAAAAGATAAAGAGTTAAGCATTTTATTAAGATCACGAACCGAAATCCAAGTTAGACAATCAATGAGAAACAGGAAGAACTGGATAGGTGCTTTTTCCTAGTATGTTAGTCGTTACCAGTGTTTATCCGCAACTTTGTAACCAGGGCTTGAACACAGTATGTCGGTCTCAAGCTCAAACGCTGAGCCTCCAGACTAGTGATCTAGAATACAGTGGTATACAAGTCTAATTTCAGTCATTAGCGATATTACTCAACCATGTTTCATTGTTTTCGGTGGGTACCTTACTCATACTGACAAGGTTGGACTCCACTGATTTACTCACCGATGACCATGTTTGAGAGAAATCTAAGTCTACTAGGTTTAATATTATGAGGTCAGGACTGATCAGTTTGAAGAGATGGGGACGATACTCTACACCACCGAGTTGGAATCCAGTAATCCATATTTTGCAATTTCAACTGGTTCATGAATATAAAAGCTTAACTATTTTCAAGTTCTTTATATATTACTTGTTTAACTTTAATCAAGGTTAAAATCTAAAGGTCATTACGACTTACTAAGTTTTCGAAAATTACATTCAAAGCTAGTTATCAACCAGCAGCATTTCATAGAGTAGATGGATTGTGTTTAGAGTCTTGTCACATTGGAACTCGAACCCACTACCTTTCACTTCAGTCCATCTATTTTACAAGAATTTTTGACAAATCAGCTACACAGAGACAATCTATACAGGGTACAGATATAAAGAGAAAAACAGGACAAAACCCAGTCCTGAATCTTAGCGAGATGGTTTAAACTCGTATTTGAATGAAGTAGTTTCGTAATAGACTTTAAACTAGTTTCTTAATAACTGAGAACTTTAGTTCCTTCTATTCAAAGATTGGATAGTGAAATCAACCTCCATTTTATCATTAGATTAAATTACCACGATTTAGTTTGATAATTTCATGTAACTTGAGAATTGGGTAAATTGTTTATAGTAATACAATAATACTATATGGATGGACCGTGGCTAAAAGTGGAATTTCGAACACGTGCTTCGTCCCACTTGGTATTTATCGACCGAAAGTAGCCTGGATCTCATTGCTAGTGACTTTCGATTTATGTAAATTTGCGAAAAATGGCTATATCGAGGCTCAGTTCCATGGCTTTCCCCACATAACGAAATAAAATCGTTGAGAAAGCACAACTCCTCCAACATAAAAGTTTCCTAACTAAGTAATTATTTACTTTCTTTAAATTAACTAACAAGAAATGTATTCACTTACTTTGATTTTAGAATGTATTGTCAGTGGATTATTATTATTAGTGGTTTCGTTATGTTGTTTGCGCTTCCATATATCTAACCCAACAAGTTCAATAAATTTATTTGTTAAATGTCGTCTAACAAGTGATTTCACTGGAGGAATTCGCAAAATATCAGCTAAAAGATCTGGTGTAAAACGATCTTCTAGAATCTTTTAGAGTAAAAATAAGAAATAAGAGAATAGGATATAAATTAAACTAATATTGTGGTGTTATTAATAAATTAGACAACCAGTCATAAGCGTAACCATAAAAACTTTCAGCGCTAGGAGAGGGTCTCAATACATGGATTAACTGGGTATCGTCTAATATTACACTGGAATCACTAGCCGATATAAGTTAAACGAAATTGGGGACCTGGAAGCACTGAACGGTCTTTTCAGCTTAATATGAGACTCCTCCGTGATGCGCATCTATGACCGCAAAACCAGGAATCGAAATAAAGTTCTTCAGTCTCGCATGGTAACGCCTAAGTGGTAGTGGAGTCGAAGATTTACACTGATAAGAAGCTCAATAGTAAGAAAAACAGATATTCAGTGGTTCCAGATTGACAGCGTTCATGTTACGTAGATAGTTTCATCATCTCAATGAAATTCAACAATTTCCACAACTCCATACTGATAATTATCATCTAGTAGTCGTCTAATAGCTATACCTGTAGTCCTTCAAATTTTAATGTCGGTCCCAAGCCCGGATAGAGATTGAGGGTCGAACATGGTATCAGCAGCGCCATTCCGTAGAAAGCAATCTTGTTAACAAAACGACAACCAAGAAAAATAGTCTAAACCATTTAAACTCTGTCATGTGAGTTGAAGTATCTTCATTTACAAGAATTATGACACCTAAAAGTGAAAGCCGAAAGTCTTCGGAAGTTAAGAGGGCGATACTCCTACTAACAACCAGAGCAGGAACTGACATAGGTAAATGGTATGTCTGGACAATGTAGGAGACCGGGAGGAACAGTCAAATAGTTGTGGAAATAAAGAGATACAACATAGCAGTTCTCTAAACAAGTGAAACCCACCGGACTTAAGCTGGACAGAGAATATTAACTTCGGGAGAGGTGATTATGTACTCTGGTCATGAGGAAGAAAATGCTTCGGATATACAAGAAGTTGCTCTAATGCTGTCCAAAGAAGCACGAAAAGCACTTGTAGGATGGGAGTCTCATGGATCCAGATTTATCAAAGCATCCTTCAAAGCAAAGAAGAGGGAGTTCATAATGGATGCTGTCCATTGCCATGTATACATCAATAATGGCAATGAAAACGATAGAGACCAGTTTTACGAGAGAATGTAGTCGATCGTAGAGAAGTGCTCAGGAAAGGACCTGATCATCCTGATAGGAGGCCTAAACGCCAAAGTCGGAATGGACAACACCGGGTATGAAGATATTATGGGTCTACATGGATAGACTCGGAGAAAGGAACGAGAATGTTAGGAGGTTTGAAAATTTATGTGCAATTAACAAAATGGCTATATGTGACACTATATTCTCCCCCCCCCACAAACACATAAACAGAACTACATGGGTTTCACTGGATCACACTACAGAGAAACAGTTAGATTACATTTGGATAACTTCAGATCACCACCTGGTGGTTGCTAAGATGAGACTGAAGCTAAAGAAGCACTGTACAACAGAAAAAACAGCACTACAAATGTTTATTACAGCCTTTTTTCTAGACACTGAGAAACTCGACGAATTCAGGAGAGTTATCAGCAACAGGTTCCAAGTTTCACAAGATCTACTTAAAGAGGAAACTACCATGAAGGACAACTAGAAAGCGATCCAAGAAGCAGTAGTTTCGAAGAGTCAGGAAGTACTAGGCCGCAAGAAACATCATCATGAAGAATGGACCTCCACGTATACCATGGGCAAGATTTACGAAAGGAAGAACAAGAAAAAACAATCAACAACAGCCGAACAAGAACAGAGGAAGTTGAGGCATAGACCGAATGCACAGAAGCAAGCAAGAGAGCGAAGAAGAGCACTAGAGTCGATAAGCAGAACTACGTTGATTTCATAATGACAGAGGAAAAGGTTGCAAAAGAAGGAAATATGATACAACGAAGAGGGTAACAGGTAAATATAGTAAACCAAAACGACCGGTCAGCAACAAAGAAGGCGAACGAATTAGTAAGATTGGAAAACAGCGGAACAGGTAGGCACAGCACTTTGAAAAATTCTTGAATAGACCAATTCCTATGAACCCACCAGACATCGGAGCTGCACCTACAGAACTTCCCATAAATTTCGCTCCACCAACAATCAAAGAAATAAGCATGGCCACCAAGCAAATCAGGAGTGGGAAAGAAGTGTTATCAGACAATATACTATCTGAAGCACCGAAGTCAGATATAGAAATAACTGAAAATATGCTCCATGCTCTATTCAGGCAGATTAGATAGGAATAGCTAGTGCTGACTGACTGAAAAGAAGGACATCTCATCAAGATACCAAAGAAAAGAGATATGTGCAAGTGCAAACACTATAGAGGCATCACACTACTATAAGTACCAGGCAAAGTTTTTAATGGAGTGTTGTTGAGCCGAACGAAAGATTCAGTAGACGCCCAACTTCAAGATCAACAGACTGGATTCCGTAAGAACCGGTTGTGCACAGATTAAATCGCGGCACCACGAATCATCGTCGAACAATCAGTTGAATGAAATTCGCCGCTATAGACAACTTTCTTGACTATGGGAAAGCGTTAAACAGTGTGGATAGGAGAATTTTTTGGGACCTACTTCGACTCGATAGTGTATCTGAGATCGTCAGCATCATACTGAATTCACTACACTGGAAAGTGGTGAATGGAGAACAACTGACAGATGAATGCCAAGTGAGGACTGGTGTCACACAATACTAATTACTCTCACCCTTTTTATTCTTTGTGGTAGTCGACTGGATTGCGAAGACCTCCATATTTCAGGGGAAGCATAGAATACAATGGACAGGTTGGATGCAACTAGACGGTTCGGACTTTGCAGATGACCTAGCTCTTCTCTCTCATACACACCAACAAATGTAGGTGAAGACAGACAATGTAGTAGCAGCCTTTGCAGCAGCGGGCCTCAGCATACAAAAGGAAAAAAAGATCCTCAATTACAACAAAGAGGGTACTAACCCAATCACACTTGATGGAGGAACTCTGAAAGAGGTGGAAAATTCCACGTACCTGGACAGCATCATCGATGAATAAGGAGGATCTGTCTCAGACGTAAAAGTAATTATTTGAAAAGCAAGGGCAGCCCAGGACACAGTTGGCTGTAGAATCTTTATGGGCGTCCTATGCTTCCATGAGGGGTAACAGGCGTAAGTAAGTCGTCTAACAGCTAATCAGTACTTTCCTTTACATATTGTGATGAAGAAAAACTTAAAGGTGGTGCTTATGAGATGATCATTGAAGATTAAACATTGTAATGCTTCTCAACAAGCGTTCGATCCCTTTAAACGACTAGTCCTTCATTTTTCACGGAAATACCGTTTTCTTTAAAGTCGTATTAAAAGATTTACACCGAGGTTTTAGAGGCATATAAGAAAATCTACTCTGCATTTTATTATGTAGTTGATTAAAGTTTATAAAATCAATACAAACTAAGAATTTAATCATTAACAAATGAATTCCTATAAAGTAAGCGCGTATACACTCATGAGAATTATTAAAAAATACCTTCAAATATTAAGAAGAGAACGAAGAGAAAAATCTATGTTTTTTCAATTTATATGAATAAATATGAGAACTATTAAAGATCAATTTAAAATGAGATTTATTTAAACCACGCAAACACAACCTAAGCTTAATTAGTTTACTATAGTTTTTGATTATAGTTAGTAATTTGACTGATGTACACTTTTATCTCATTTAGTACTTATCATCTGAATTTACCTACTTGTATCCAAGTGCTTAAATGTTCAAACTACGACTTGGACTTGGTATCTATTACTTCAAACACCAATGTGTTATTTACCAAAAGTTAATATGTTACTATGTTGCCACACAGCTTATTCAATGGATATTCGTTAGGATTTGTATTTTTCAATGGTTGATAATCAAAACTATATTGATCATTCCATTTTTGATATATAGGCTTCTTTCAAGATTGCCTCAGTATAACCATTGGTTATAAATTTCATTGTTAATGTTGGGGTGATCCAGAAAATTCCACGGAAAAAAGCCAGAAGAGGCTATAAAATTGCTGAGAAACATCTTATCCAATGAGCATTCAATAGAAGCTTTGCCAGAAACATTTAGAGAGTGAAAAGTTACATGTCGCGTTCCTCATTAGATGATTACCCATACTACTATAATGTTTAGTAACGTTCCAAAAATTTCCAGAAGCTCGGAGTCATCTAAAATACTATAAATACCCTAGATTTTTTATGCATGGCCGAACCTTGGAGTAAAGTATTTCTTCAATATTTCGCGCCTTTCCTCTCGTGTTCAAATCGTTGCGTAGGTTTAGCCTGATGGTTACTAGAAGAGCTTAAAGGTCGAATTTAGCGTTCAATTAGAAGATTTATTAGTTGACCATTATTCTAATGTATAATGCACTTGTAATTATCGACAGTACTGAGTCATTCACTTAAGCCCAACCCAATATTTAGTAAATAAACTGAATGGATTTACAGTTCAGAATAATAACAATGGAAAAATACAGCCCCTTGGAAATTACAAAAAACAATAGAAGTGTTTCGAGTTATGAATTCAACTGGTTCTCCGTATAATGAGTAAATATAAAAACGGGTGTGCACGACACCATAAATTCACAGATTCAGAAGTTATCGGATCAATATGAGGTACCACTTATGCGGTAAAGCATGCCTAGGAAGTTTGCATAGAAGTCAGTAAACTGAAGAAACATTGTCATTCATAGCTTTTACTGAAAACTAAGCTGTAGTAGTATTGTCCAGAATGACAATAGTGGGAGTTTTATAATTAAAACTATTCAGCTTAGAAAGTAGAAGATACGATCAGATGGATTATAGTAATAGGCAATAAAACATGTATGCCATATTCATAATGTAACATATTACTGTTTTTTAGGTGAGAAGAAATGTAGTAAATGTTTAAAAATGACCAATAGTAGTGTGGTGAGAGAAATACAGACGTTTTAACAACTATGTTACGAAGTTTTATTTTGGGGAACTGAGTAGTGAGTAATTAGTATAATACCACTAGTAATCACACACGAAACGGAAATTTTTACTGATATAGGAATAAATAAAAAGAGAGAGTCAGGGTGTCAAAACAAAAAAGGGCATCACGCCACAAAGACAGTGACTATTAGATTGACCAAGGCTACCTGGTCGAGGTCCGAGTGATTACCTTAACCAATGGTTAAAGACTTGAGATGGCATGACTCGAAATCATTCATGACGCAGATGCATTCACTCATTTTCCCTTAGGTACTAGGTATTTACGTTAGCTTATAAAATTTTATTTTATTTCACTGACTCCTATTTTCTTCTCAAATCGTATCTTGGAAGCCAAAGCTTTTCTATTGCAACAATATAGTTATTACTTCTGCTACTCTGGGATTCGGTCTGACAACTTCATATCACTGTGCCAATGAGCTGTGGTAACTTGAACCTATGTACACACGTTCCAGGTTGCGTATGACCAACTGACTGACTGGTCAGACAGTTATCCAGTAACCTATGGTTTTCAATGGATGTCTAACTAAAACCACAACGATATTACAAATAACCTAAAATGAATCCAATGAATTTAGATGAAGATCACACCACCTACCATTAAAGCACCATGTACACCATTTCCGCATAATTCGCTAGCATATTCAGGTAATTCGATACTTTGTAACCAATTCATTACTCGTTGTTGAGTCCAATAACAAATTTGTATTGGTAAATATGTTGAACAAATAAAATTAATATCAGAATTCATGGAATCTGGTTGTAAAGTAGAAATAGTATTCAAGCAAGACGTATGCACATGATTTCCATTATGTCCATTATTAGGTTTTATATTATCTTGAATATGATTTAACGATTGGATGGGAGAATGTAACATGTTTCTTTTACAAGGTAAATTTGCTTCACCTGTATTAATTAAACCAAGTAAGAAATAACAATCTTAAGAATAATTCAACATAAAATAACAAACTATAAATACTATCAGTTTAATTTTAAAGAATATGTACAAAATGTTGAGTTCCATGAAGTCAGCAGCCTACATATATTTATTACTTATTTTCTTATAGTATCAATCAATCGACCAATCAACCAGTCATAATAATCTCCACAACCCTATACTGATAATAACACTGGAAATACCATGAATATGTATTGGTTTAAGTTGTCATATATTATAGCAGTACAGTCAGAGAGAAAATTCACGAAATGAAAGTCGATGAGAAATTGAAATGGAACTGGGGATGATAGCAATATACATTGAAGTAGAAAGTTAGACAAGACAAGCACTGTTCACAATGAAATATGTCAGAAAAGAGGATGAAGCTATTAAAATGGTAATAAACATCATCATAACAGATTTTGGCATTGTTAGCTTTGAAATTCATACAAATATTCTGGTTTAATATATAGGTATCGTTATAATGTGTTAGATATGGCAGCAGGTCAACAGTGAAACAGAAGTGCCAAACAGAACCACTGTATATTACCTTCCAATACGAGACGAGTATGCATCCAGAAACTGTACTAAGGATTGAATATAAAGTTTTCAGGATTTAAGAAGAGGACAGCACAGTTTTACCTTTGAAACAATAATTGTGAGATGGAGAATATTTATAGTTGAGGGTGAGAATTCGGGAAGTATTGGTTTCTTTGATTTGGGTACTTCAGTATTGTCTTTCTAGACAATATGATTACGTTCAATAATTACGTTAGTAATATTATTTACTAAATAATTAGTTGAGAATGTTGGGTAATGAAAAAAAACTGAACAGGGTGAGAGAGAAACTCTCACCCGTTGAACAAATTTTTCGAAAGACAATTATGGTCTCTAGACTAATAAAATCTGTTGGTTGACGAATAGTACTGAATATCGGCAAAATATGTAGTGATAAAACAATTTTGTTAAAAAATACGATTATATTATCAATACTTCACTTACATTGTTCCATCTGACTTCGGCATAAACGATTTCTATCAAAATTAATATGTCTTAACATTTGTAATCCCCATCGTAAACTTAACATATGTAATTCACTAGACATTTTCAACACAGATAAATCATCCTGAAATCATAGGGAGAAAAGTGTTACCAAACTACCATTTACGTAATTTTTATCAAGGAATAAGATTAGTTAGGGTACAAAGTTGAGAACCAGGATTTCTTACTAGTGTGTGGTCGTGAGCTCCAAAGGGATAGGACCCAGAGCCTTTGGGTTTCATGGAAAGGAAGTGACATTTAAACCACTGAGATGGATCCAGAAGAAAATCCATCAAATAAAATCACTATGTTTGTGTATACCGAGGCATGGTGGTAAACTCGGTGCTTATAGACATATCTGATGCCTGTGTTCACAATCCATCTCAAGATCAGACGATAGGTGAGAAGTTACGCTCTGGGTATAATATTGGAGGTAGTTGACTAAGCACCTCGTCAAGCCCTCAGCTTACATTTCCTTGTTTGGATCAGAAGGACAATCGTATATATCTACCTATGATTTATGTGCAACAGAACTTAAATCGCTAATTATAGCAGCCTAGCCTTTTTCTCAATCTATACATCTATATTACTGAATGGTTAAGCGTAAAGGAAAAGTATGTATCTGAAACCGACGTCATGGATTGTAAGTCGTTCACATACATACATATATAAAGTCATAGTCAAAGGCAAAAATACTAATATACATTTAATGTTAGACGTACCATAGTAAGTTGATCTAGCACATAAGGGTCAATGATGCAATTATCGAATTGTGGAATATAAGATGATAAACCCACATCATGTAACCAACCTATACAGTGAAAAACATAACGAAATGAATTATTTTTATTGACTGGAATTAATAGAATTTATGGTTGGACTATTATTTATTTAAAAATAAGAGGTTTTAAAATATCACGCGAAATTCACTCATATATATGGCTACAGAACATTTTTGAATCACAGAGGATGTCAGTTCCTGATGAAAATCCCAACCCTGATTCTTAATTCCAACCACTAATTCTAATTCTTAGCCTTGTTTTAAATTTTTTAGGTGGTTGAGATTTCTTAAGGTCACTTTGAGAATCTCTTAAGATCATCCATAAAATATAGTCTCTCCAAATTCACATCATTATTGATTAATATTTTTGATTACACTTTACTCATGACATTCTGTGACTCTGACAGTGATCTTCCCAATGTAACACTAACTTTTGGACAATCGAAATACAGGTGATATAAACAAGTAATCCCTTATATACAAGGGACCTCAGCAATTCCAACGACGCGAAAGTAAGAACACAGAGACTGGTATAAGTGATGATTTATTAACCCCAAAACACGACGACCATGACCCTAGTAGAAAATACACTCATTTATATATTGATTGTACATCCATTTTGATTAATAATTAGGATGAAATCACATATGAAAAATACTTAGAGTTATAACAAATCACAGACTGAGGATAGTTCATGGTAATGGAATATCGCATATTGTACAGAATGAAATATCATAAGAGATAATGAAACAATTACTACATTGAGTAATCATTACATTGAATCAAAACGGAAGTAATCTTGAACAAAACTCATAATGAGTAAATCAATCGAAAATTGACTTTTCTTTCCATCATATCATGATGGCTTCCTGATCGTTTGGACTAAAAATTCTACAGTCAGCTCTACAATTTAAGACATCAATAATATTAAGTTACATTCAAATTCCCACAAACCAGGACACTTATGATTCAGTCCTTACATGTTTATCAGTTTTAAGCGTTTCAGTAATGAAATATTGCTAGGCCTTATTCAGCTTTTAATAAAATATTCGCTATACACAATTAAATTTTGAATTTTTCGCGAAATTCCAATGGTCGCTATTTTGAATCTGATTGGTTCATCAGAGAAAATACTTTAACTAATGTATATTTAAACTAAAATCGGAATTTTCACTTCATTAAAACAAAGGTAATAATTGATTTTCACTAAACAAAAAACACGAAGTTTTTTTATTTTAAACAGTTGTGTGCGAACTAATTAGTGTGGGATAATGTACAGGGAAAGTAAAAATCGAAAGGTACTGATCCAGTAGGACTGACATATTGACCATTTGGTAGTTAATGGTTATTGTTCATTCAGTCAAATTGTAACAGCGTTTGGAAAATTATTCGAATGTTAAACGCTGCTCAATATATAAGATTGTTATTTAGTGTTGAGAGTTTTGTTAACTTATCAGGAAGTGGATTTCAATGCTATATATATAAGACAATCTCATGTACTGACGTTGACCTGAATATAAGGACGATCACATGTGATTTTCCAAATTCTTCAACTTACTAAATATATACTAAACCATTTGGAAAGAAAATTTAGAAAATTACCACTAGTTATGTCAGTTGGTTAGATGTGATCTGGGGAAAATCCGAATTTAACTTTTGGATGGTTAAAACACATCCGAAAATGGTGGGTCCAGTTCTAAGGTAACGGATGTTATTATTAGGTTAACAGTTTCACAAATTGAAGGGCTACCACTGAGTTATTCAGGTCAGGACAGATTAACATAAAGTTAGTTACTACTCAGTGATCAATCAATGCAAATACTTCTGATTTATAGGAGGTCGATTGCATCCCACATAGTTCAGTGGTAGTATCTCGCACTATCTACACCCCACGAAGAACATTAGTTCCTTTGAAACTGTAGGTATATCTTGCTGACGGGTACTAATTAGTATGAAAACTAAGTCAATGAGGGTTTCTCTATCAAATAATTTCAATTACCTAACAACAGAATTATTGAAACCATTATCTGGAACTGTGTTAGTTAACAAACGTAAAATAATCCCTTCACTACCACTAGAGCAGATTTAAAAGATAAAAAATAATGTACTCTGAATATAAAATGACGAAATGTTAAAATTACACTGACAAAAATAATGAAAATACTATTCACAAACTAAATATATCATAAATAAGTTCCATACAAAACTAACGATGATAATTACCCGGTATGTCGAAATTTTCAGGTGGTTCTATATTTCTATATAAACACCCATAATTGTAATTATTATTAATATTATTACTATTATTAGGATACTGGTCTTTCATACATAAACGTATATGGATTAACAATTTCTTCAAATGTAACGGGTTACGTATACACATTAACTGAAAATCAATTGATAGGAAACGATTATTGAAAAAAAGAAACGAAAAGAAAACGATAACATGGTAAGAATATTATGAAAGTGCTAACTCTTGATAATATCTTACGGAAGGTTATTTGTTTATATCTTTACCACATAATTACCAGATAATTGGACTATTGGACTACTCTTATATCAATCTAATTGTAAGATTTTGTTTGACGCATAAACTGTTGTCCTACGTTTTATCTAATCAGTCCTCACTAGTAAGATGTATCTCAACTACCTTAAGGCATCAACTTTGGTGGCTTCTCATGCCTTTATCGTCTGAGTGGCTTCCGAATCGGACATTATTTGTCTACTATTGGACTGGGTATAAAAAGTGTAGTGGTAGCAAGTTTATAACATGGTACCATTGTATCAAAGTTAGATGTAGTAAGACAAAATATGTTAGTTCATGCCGAATCCTTGTTTACAGTCTTAGAGATTATGCAACTTAGTAACTTCAGTAGTTATGAGATATGCCTCAAAATGAAATCCAGTTGCGATTTTACTTTAATCCTCTTCATCCAGGTAAAACGAATTCTGTGACTGAAAGAAAACTTTGTTGTTTGGGTTTTTAACTGAGTTTTATTGATGATCATATCATATTACTGTTTATTCACATCCATTGATTATAATATATTTTCATCTATTTATTCTTTCAAAATACCATTAGTTTATTTCTGCGGTGTATGCTTTTTTTAAATGTCATATTGTACCATAATTTATGTGTATCAATTAAGTAAATAATGAATTTTTTTAACGATCAGGACAATTATAACGCCTTAGATACTAATCAAAGTTACAATCAATAATAAAAAGTAATGTTCTGTTACGACGTACTTATTACTCAATAACTTTGATTTTTAAAAGCGAAGAAAACAACAAAATATTGCGAAATAAAATGAATTTATTTAATATTGGTGTACTCCAACTTTGTTGTATACGCTCTGATTAACATTTATTATTCAGTTAATCAATTGAATGATGGTATTCCATTCAGAAAATAATAGTCTACTAGTTTATGGTATCTACATGATTATACTTTTACGAACATCTGTTAGCGATTAAGTAAATAAATAGATAAATAAATAAGAAAACGTCGATTATCGAATTGGGATAAATAAACATGGAAAAAAAAAGAATATTGTAAGTTATTTATTAAATTAAACACAATCTCCTTTAAAATATGGTACCTTGATAAGTTATCGAAATAAGATAGCTAGGTGATGGGGGTTTGATTTGTATAGGGAACACTAGTCTCTTCAGAGTCAAACAGACGTCTACATATTGGACAGTAATTAGCATGAAGGTATCTTGTCAACTACATCTAATCAACTAACATATTAAAATAAAGCAAGTCATATTAAGGTACTCAAACTGGTGACCACATTGTAACCTGATGGATAGAATCCGGTCACCGATAAAATACTAGACAAACAAGACAATAGCTACTAATCGCTGATCAATCGATAGCGAAACTAACAGAAACAAATATAAGCTGTAGTAGTTATAGTAGTATTAGTATTAGTAATAACCAGTATTATTTTCTGTCTAGTTTATAGTACTGATCAAATTTAAACAATCGAATTTGTAATGCTACTACTCGACTCCATAGCTTAATATCGTGGTATACTATATTTTGCTGCTATGCAGTTAAGCAGCTTAATGTAAAAACTTTATAGGTCAGGTAATAATGTATGCAGATCAGTCGTGAGAATGATAAATCGTGTTCGGTATAGCTTATTTGTTAAATTCTTAAACCATGATACGTGAGATACAATAAGTTTTAATCGCTCACTGAACTTTACCTTTCTTATGAATGTATACAAATGTTGCTGTTTAAATGTTAATTAGTACAGTGAAAAGGTTAGGAAATAGTGGAAAAAGTATAAGCACATGTTTGCTTATTCTTATTACTACTCTACCTAAGTTAAGGACTCATAGAAAACTAGGAAGTATTTAATAGATATTTCATCGATTGTACATTGCCCATCCACGTCCTCACCAGGAATAAAACCCAGGACCTTCAGTCTTGCCAACAAGCGCCTACCTTCTAGACCACTGAAATTAGACCAATCCATAATATATGACAACCATTTTTCCTTATCTTCGATGACCAACCTTCCATACCTGAAGGTATGCGATTAAATCCCTGATGAGGTTATGGCTTTTAACTGATAAGGAGTCCCATACTTCAATGAAACGATTAGTCACTTGCTCACTTTTGAGTTACACCTCCGAGTAATATCAACTTATAGCGAATACCAGCTATAATCTCGTTATTTAAAATGTATACACAACTCTACGGTGGTTCAATTAAATGGTTTGAAGACAGTCTCTTCTTTGAAATAATTACCTTTTATATTGTTTAAGTCTTTGAATAGAAGATATCAATAAAGTACAATTTTTTTATCCAATTAAATTTTATTATAAGGGTTGAATTGACTCAATGTAACATAGAATGCATACATCATGATTGGTACAAGTTGAGGATCTAAGTGTTTCATTGTTCTATACATTTTTAAATGACTTTAAGCCTAAACTCATTAAACTGTTTTAGACAAGAGCATAACCCTTTCAAAATATTCAAGTAATCAATTTCTGGTCTATAGATTTATGAATGAATGCTGTTAATCAGTATTTATACTAAGGTTTATTAATTTTTATAAGGTTTATTCAATTACAATTAACTTGAATGAAACGTAAAGATACTTTTTCATTTTCTCTATGAAAAAAGACATTGTCTTATAAAGTTATTTATGAATTATGTACCGTGTAAATTAGCTAACTGCTTACTTGTGCAAGTGATTTTTTAGATTCATTTATTAAATCTTGACCAGAAGTTAACCATCTTCGTGTATGTGATACTGTATAACCTAGACCAATTTTATATAACCATGCTGAAATCATATTTTTATCCCAAGTGATAAAATTTCTAAAATAAAAAAGAAGGGGAAATTATAAATTAGATTAATTGATTTATTGGTATATTATTCAGTCAAAATAAGTGAATACATTATTTAAATTTGTCCCCAAATGCCCTGGCACGGTCGAGGGTGGGGAGAATCAGCTCTCTCTCTCCAAATGCTCTCAAGTGACCACGTGCAAACAATCACTGCCACATAAGTCCTACTCACTACCCTCTTGCGGCATTACTGTTCTTTACGAAACTCAGAGGACGAAAAGCGAATGTTCGGTGCTTTAGCTGAATTGGTGGAGTTGGGGAGTTGGAAAACCCTAATTCCAAACCATTGGTGTACATGGGCTCCAGGATCCTAAAGGAACAAATGGCGTATGAACCAATATTTGGTCACCGGCTACCATGGGACTGTATCTCCTTACATTTCTCCACTGACTTATGGACTAGACCTTTAGGTCAAAGGCTTCGGATGTGGCCACCTAAGAATACCACCTGCTTTGGTTTGGGCACCCGTATAGTATCTCAGTCCTCACACAAATCGAATGATTTATATGGCGCATATCTATTTGGTGTGTCCCTGTACCAATGTTTATGTGTTTAAATAAAATAAAAATTATTTAATTTACTGTATAATAATGAATACACATTGTGATTGAGTTAACTTAAAATGATTGATAAAGAATGGCATGATTATTACGTTGGTTAAACACGAATATTTATTTTGGCATCATTTAACTAAAAATTTACATAGACATACTGGTATTATTCAGTTTTAATGTCTTTGACCAAGATTTCATGTTAATTAGTTACTAGTAAGAAAAATAAGTTTGAAAATAAATCCAACTCATTATTTAATTTATATTTAACCGAAATGCATCTATTTTAAAAGGTGTGACAAAATGATTGCATTAAGGAAATCTTCACAGGGTGAAAATATCTTGAAAAAGAGTAATTGAAGATTCAATCTTAGATATTAACAACAGAAAAATTCAAACCCTTTCTATTAATAATATAAACATAAATGTAGAACAAGGTTGAGATCATCCATACTATTTAATACAATGGATAACATGTTCATTTTTGAAGTGAAATGTATCAAGTTTGAGTCCCATTGTGAACAACAACTCTGGAATGTAGACATATCAACATGACGTACCTCTAACAAGATGAAATGCTCGTTCTAGATCTCAATGCTATTCACAATTCATCTATTCTAGAAAAGTTCTATCATTATTCTTCACTAAAGTATCAAGTTTTATCACTGATAGTTGTGAAAACATTTTGTTTTTAGAAAAAAACCACCATAAATTAAAACAAAGGAAATTTCGATAAAAGAATCAATGTAAAACAAATGAGATGATTATTTTTTTATTCTAAGGAGATAATAAAATGTTATTTCATAACCAGAAAAAATATGCAAATTAGAATCCTCAATTTTGTCAGTTCTATATAGCTGTTTGTAAACTACTTATCTGTTTTAGGCTTTTAGTTTGTTTGATAGCCACTAGTGATAACAAAACGATTATTCAAGATGAATGGGGGGTGATACAAACTTCAAAAATTGACTTATTGGTTATAAAACTGGACGCTTTTCAATAATTAATAGCTTTTATCAAATACTCAGTGTTACGAGTTCTCTTATTACGACCCAGCTATTCATAATGCTTTGCATTCTCGACAAGTCCCCAAATCAGAACGCGGTTGAAAAAGAACGTAATTGTATTCCAAATGACAAGGATAGATGGAAGTACAAATCACAATAAGAAGATTCTAGAGTCTTCTCCAAATATCCACTAGTGTTGATTAGCTAGAAAATAGACAGAGTGCCCCAATGCAATCCTGCAAGAAACGTGTTTGAATCCAATCTATGACCTGCTAACACCTCTTTGAACAGATTCGTGGGATCTGGTGTTAGAGTCCACTTGCAACCGTGTGACGGACCTGTTTTTAATGTGTCCACCTTCTAGGCAATTAAAGAGTGGTATTACTTTTTGCTTGCACAGAGAATGTCCTGTTTACTCAAGAGGTGTTGTTTTCAAACGTGTCCAGCAGAACACCAAGCAGTATCCTACGTTAGATCTTGTTGCCGGCGATCAAAGTTGCTTTCAGTTGGTTAGCATGATCCACTCAAACATCTGAGTCAACTGACACCTCGTAAATCACACTTCCTTTCTTTTGCACGATTCGACCGGCTATCCATATGGGATGCTTGCCACGGTAGTCCATAGCAAATACTTTCTGACCCACAGTGAACAATTGTCTTCATGCCCCGTGATGTCCATTGAATTGCTTCTCTATCGATATTTTTCACTGAGAACCAAGAGCTGGGGTCGAACGAATGGCATCGAAATGCGTTTTTGCGCCTTATAAAATATCAGACTAAACAATTTTCATAAACTTCTTGCAATAATAATGAATTATAAAAAATACTTTATTACATTATAAGCCACAGTATGGCCAGATCATTTCACGAGAATATTACTATACTAAATAGGAAACTAATGTGTTTTACATTAGGAGATAGAGAGAGATAACGGTCAGTCAGTCACAGTGTAGAACCCGGTACGTATGTACATCGATTCAAATTGCCACATTCTATTAGCACAGAGAGATGAAACTGTTAAGCCGAATCTCAGAATTGTAGAGGTAGTAACAGTATTAGTAGTAATTGAAAAGACTGGGTATCAAAGATACGATTCGAGAACAAAACATAAATTAGTGTAACAAAGACGAAAAATGTTATGAGGTATTGAGAATCTTAGAATTTGAGGGAAGACAAAGAATGGATGCACATGGGCCGTCGCAAACGATTATAAGCCATGTCATTCAATGTTTCTAACCATTGGTTATGATAATCACACGGACCCAAACCAGACAGTCTACATCTAGTAGTATTGCTAAGTTCAATTGTCAGTGAATTTATGGACTGATAATATGTTTTGGTCTAGCCGCTCTTAGCTTTCTTCTAGCCTGTTCCTGCACCAGAAACATCGCCCGTCAGTATGGGCGGCCGTTGAACATACGTAACACACATCCCAACCACCTCACTTGAAGAAGATTTACTACCTAATCGATCTATTTTCCATCTTTACCTAGTACTGTATTTCTAACCCAGACACTGCTTACTCCGCGGTCCCAAAATACACGAGCAAAGCTTGGTAGACACCTGTGACGGAATAACAGTAAACTAGGAATATCCTCTACTCTTGATGGTCATGTTTCACATCCATAAAGTAGAACGGAGCAAACTGTTGCTCAGTAAACTCGTCCCTTGGTTGGAAGACAGATATCTCGCCTACACCTTAAATGACACAAGTTAGCAAAAGCCATTCGAGCCTTCCAAATCTGTGCCGAGATTTTGTCAGATATCAGAGCATTACTACTGGTGAGACTCCTACGATAAAGAAAACGGTTGATGCATTCACTTACTTTACTCCCTATCATTAATTTAAGTGATAACGCAAGCCAGTCATGAACTAACATTGTTGCTTAAGGTGGTCAGAAGACTCTGCATTTTGTCAGCATCCTCACTAAGAAGAATTATATCATCAGGATATCCTAAGTCAGTATCTGAATCTCCTGGTAGAATAACTCTTGAAAAGTCAGACGATGAAAGTGTTATCTTTAAAAGCATGTCTATGACAAAGTTTTATAAAAATGAAGAGAGCTAACAGCCCTGGTGTACAACCCTTGAAGTAACCGATTCCAACGATAGTTCGCCATAAGCTCTAACTCGACCAGAAGTTTAAGTAGAGAGTCTTTACGTACTTTATTTGGTAGGGTTTTCGGTGAAAGACACTTCCAAAGAACCTTATGATCAATGGAGTCAAGCTCCGCCTTAAGGTCAAGGAATGCGACCATTGTCAGACGTCGAACATTATGTCTATGTTCCAGAACCTGTCGAGGGGTGAATAGTTGGTCTACATATCTACATCTAGGTCTGAAGCCAGCTCTGTTTTCTCGATTTTTCTCCTCATAAGCTCTAGTTAGACATCGAAGTACCACATTAATTTTACTGATTCCTCTGTGATTATTACGAAGGACATAATCATGTCAGTGCCAGACATATCATAATTGGAGAGATTTAAAAAAAAGCTACTGATTAAAATATTGTCTAATTTAGTAAAGTATGATCTATAAATCTAAAATGAAAGGTACAATAAGAAGAGTTCTAATACGCTGCTGAAAATTAATCTGCATTGACTAAGTCGGGTAATCTGGCAGCCTACAATCCACTAATAGTATTCCCCTGTTTAGTATGGATTAATTCTTGAGCTTATTGTTGCTCAATAAAAACGTAATCTCACTGAATAAAACACCAACCTGTTACGTTCATACACACAGCAGCTGAGTAACATACCTACATGCTATTCAGCAGTAAACACTGAAATCATTAGCACAAAACAATGCTTAGCGCTTATAACAGTAAACAGAACACAGGAAATTAAATGATATTATAAATTTTATGCATTACAGCATGCTTAATTACTTCAACTTAAAAACTAGAGCAAAAATGCAAAAACAATTGTATTCGAATCATTCATATATATTCAGCATAATGATAACTGTACGGAAAAAAGGTAGAACATACGCACCGCTTAGTATAGGCGAATTGAAATGATTGACGTTGTTCACTGGATGAATTAAGACCATTATGAGATGAAGGGGATTTGTTACTGTTAAACAAAAAATAACATTGTATGAACATGCAATATTTATACATTTCATTTAGATGGATTTACATGCAGTTGAACATGAGAGTACTAAATACAATCATTAATGAAAAAAGAACAGTACGAATAACCGGGTGCACCAAAATCAAAATACATATGTATGTGCCCACTTATTTTAATACCAACAGATACATAGTGTAAGGTATATTATATTGTTTATTAGGTTGAAATATCTTTTTACTTCCGATATGGTTGAACTTCATCAGTCATATTTTCTCATTAGAACTCCAAAAATTATTCTAAAAGGTAGACACTTGTGATCACATTTCATTTACTAACTTTAAATTCTTGGAATGTCTATTTGGTAAATAAAAAGTAGACAGACATCGAACGATAAAAAAAACACAGCGAAAAAGCGAATGTTTGATTGTTGACCGTTGAGTACCTTACAAAGTAAAAAACGAAGGCTGAAGACTGATAACTGACTTACATATTATAAATAATGGGTAGCAATCGAATTTAGAATAGTTGGTTTATCTTATTTTTAGACTCAACAATTGGACTTGCTTGCCACATCCAAGTTTGGATGCTCACACTGTGACAAGAAACCCAATAAATATAGCTTCAACGACCAGTGCACTATTCACTACGTTACATAGACTGGTCAGATTTACTCACGAATATTAGTAATGGGAAAATATAATGCAATATAAATACTGGTGATGTTTATTTTGTTACAAAATTGCTTCGATGTGGACAGGGATTTCTGATCATTCAGTTTAACAAAAGAAGTGAAATTATCTTCCTAACAGTCCTATGTTCATTATATTTTGATGATGAAGTAATCATTACAACTTCTCTCCATATTTAAAAATGGCTAATTTTCGTAATCACCTATCTTTGACAGATAGAATTCAAATTAAAGTCATCAGTGAGAGGAAAGATCACAATGTTTTTGGGAACTTGAGAATACCATCTATTTTAAGTGATGAAGTAAAGATATAATGATACATATAGAATTTTCAATGACTAGGCTATGAATCTTAGTAAACTGAAAATGTTGAGGCATATGATAAGTATGCGCGACGACAGCCTATCTTGAAGAACAAGTTTGAGTGGGGTAGAAGATTAGAAGAATATTAGAGGCAAAAACCAAGGTGAAATATCAACCAGTGAAGTTATCAACTATTGGACTGAGCAATTTTGGTAGGTTCAGACTACCTGGATAGGGTCTTCATGATTTTCGTAAACAATAGTTGGAGCTTTAGGGTAATATTTTTTGGAATTGGTCAAAGTGTCGCAGATATATCCTGAGTTCTAGCATTCTTTGGTACATATATTATCATATCTTCTTCTAGAACCATACTGTCAATATAGAGTCTATCTGATTATCAGTGACACTATGGCTATTTCATTAATTTGATATTCATGTTATTAATTTCAATTTTTTTCTGGTTTGGTACTGAAACCTAGGCTAACATACATCTATGTCATTTTTAACATTTATCACGGCTAGCTGATAGGTTGCTTGAAAAACAGAAAATATTCACAAGTATCACATTGAATCCGTTTGAAATACCAACAATCTTCATCATTATTTAAATAAAAGTCCTCAGCTTTGTATCTCAAATAACAAATGTTTTAACTAGTTATAGAATTTCGCTTTATAATTACTATGTAGCACAATACAATGAAGAGAATACTTATGCCTTTTACAGAGAGTACTGAATTGTCATACTGTTTTCTGGATTCAAACCAAAAGTCACTGGTTTTTATTTTACGTTGTTTGATAACGTTTGTCTAACATTGAATTAAAAAGCCTCATACAATGAATCGCTTCATTATTAAGATGTATAATGGTGATCTCATTACCAGAGTTCATAGCTATTCATTTATAACTTTGAATATTCTATTCTGAGGTCACAATTAATGAATGCTGACAATAATTTAAGGCAAACGATGGTTTACTATGGTGTCATATTTTACATTACTGATTAACCTTAGTTAGAAAACTGTAGAAACCGAGGAAGAACTACACAGATGCTTCGTTTGAGTGTGTAACTCCACAGCAATCCTAATCACTATCACCATCAGGTGTCACGACAAGCACTTGACCTTTAGAACACTGAATCAGCATCCAATGGTTTACATTTCTAACTTCAGCCAATTCGGGATATTGCCCAACCATCTAATCCCGTTGGTAGGTTCGTACGGTAAACTACAAAATTCAATAATCTTCACAAACGTTTAAACTAGTGATTCTTTAAGCGACACATTATTCTGTACGATCATGAATGTTAGTGGTACATATATTAAAAACACAGATATTCACATATTTACACTTCCTCACGTACTCACACGTTGTCCAGATATGAAGACGTAAACTCATTCGATTCATGATGTACAGAAGATGAAATAGATTGAATGTTTTTATAACTATCAAATGAATGAGGTCCATTTTTCACATGATTATTACACGATTTATTATTACTTAGTACAGACATATTTTTATTCAATGGACCATTTTCATTGGATTCAAGGGCACTTCCCTGATAGCTCTGTTGTGATTTGTTATTGCAAATTGAATTGGTATGTAGAACTGAAGGTGGTGAAGAATTGTAGACAGGATTAGCAGAAACATCATCAACATGACTATTATTACTGTTGCTCATAGAAGGAAGAGTAGTTTCTTGTGTTTTTCTACGTGATCTGTTCAGTGAACCACCACCATAATAACGTTCCATACTTTTAGACCTTATATATAGTGCAGAATTGATTAAACTGTTTTTTGGTTTACATTGATGATGGTGCATGGAATTCGATTTATTCAAACCATTTGATATGAAGTTATTCATTTGACCTTGTGAAAGCCAATGAAAGCTAAATGAAGTGTTGGAGACATATATTTATATAATATGCACTAATAATATCTTTATGAATAAATAGAATATTTGTTTAACACACACACAAATACAAAATGAAGCAATTATATTTATACACCAATTGATATATCTCCTATTCGTTTATCGGTAATGAAATTTTATTATTAGAGTCACTAGACCAAACTGAATGTACATTATGATGCACTTCATTTAATGTGTGCTGATTTAAAAGTGATCAAAAGGAACTCCAGTTTAGGGATGCATCATCGACAAGATGAACTAGCAGACAAAGTCACTACATTATCAAACCATTTAGATTAGTGATTATATATTTCAGTTTAGTAATTGTACTCTATCAGAACAATTAATGAAACAAATATAATATTTTGGTTGTTGAACTTATGAGTCAGTTGAAGCTAGACCACCATAGGAATCCTCAGCAATGCACATCCACGATCCCGCTCCACGAAAATCAAACCCAGGACCTATCAGTCTCGCGCGCGAGCGCTTAACCACTAGACCACTGAGCCACAACTAACGGGTCAGTTGTGAGATAGCAAATCGCTGATGATAATGGTGGACGGTGGCACAACTTCGTGGATTGATTGAAGTTAGACATTAACACCGCCGAATGCCGCCTCAGTGGTCTAGCGGTTAAGCGTTCGCGCGCGAGACTGATAGGTCCTGGGTTCGAATTTCGCGGGGCAGGGTCGTGGATGCGCACTGCTGAGGAGTCCCACAATAGGACGAAGTGGCCGTTCAGTGCTTCCAGGTTTCTCATGGTGGTCTAGCTTCGACTGACTCATGAATTCAACAATTACATTAATATAATGTCCACAAAACCTCTCTCTGATTAAAATATAATGTTGTTTATTACTTAGCCATTAATTAATTAATTAATTCGTAAATTTCATACACATAGTTCCCTTTATTATCTTAAATAGAGGTAGATTGTAACCACGATAGTTTATTGATAATATATCTTATTGTGATGCTAGATATCATTAGCCCAAGTTCATTATCACTTCTTATCGATTTGAGTCCAACGTTTTTAGTCAAATATGGACGTGATAATACACAAATGGCAAAAAATAAGATTAATGTAGGTAGACTCAATAAATATGAAATATTATTCAAATGCTATAAGATAATTTAAATTCAAACATAAATGTAAATATGCATGCACAATTAAAGTGAAAATATTTTATCTAATGAATGATGCTTTGCAGGCTAAACAGAAGTGTATACATTGAAATTGGCATGCTATAATCATAAAAATCCAGTGCAGCAATTATCATAAATCACATGATTATATATATGATAAAAATATAAAATTAGTTACCCATATCATTTTAACTTTTTTGTTGTTGTTAAGAACATGAACCTATACAACCTAGACAACCGCTGGAGACTTGAAAGCATTAAAGGGCTGTTTTATCTTAGTGTGGAACTCCTTACCAGTACTCACTCACGACCCCAACATCAAGAATAGAAGTTTAAGCTTTCGATCTCGTGTTCAAACGCTTAATCAACAGACGATTAAGCTAGGATTAAATGGTGCACAAACCTAACTTCAGTTAACCAGCGATACTGGATCCTGGCTCAGTGGTCTGAAGGTCAAACGTCCTTACTTGAGACAGAATATCCTTATCTCAATTCCCAGAGGTGGGAATATTTTGTATTTACATCAAAAATGGTAAACTGCGCTACACTAATGCGTTCATGGTAGACAGATACGAATAATGTCCGAGACTTAAAATGAAGACTTAATGAAATTTAGACTTTAATGTTAAACATTCGTTCACTTAATGGACGGAAAATGGTGGGGATTAATAAAATATAACCTACGCAATCAAAGGATTTTGATATACGCTAGGGTCTGGAAAAGAATCAATTTGATTACTGGTGGTATTTGATCTATTATTGTTATACCATAAGTTGTCACTTAAAGTTAACTTGATATCCGGTTCATTAACAAACAAAAAGAAAATCCACTTAATTACTACTCAAATAATTTGAAATTTTGCTCGAAATCTATCGATACATTAGTAATATTTGTTTTTGAATTTAGCTCAACAACCACAGAACAAAAAGGCACAGGGTGGCTTATTTGCCTTTGTACGAAGATCTGCTAGTGTACACACCAAAGACCAAAGCAGAATTCGAACCTGGAAGTGGTTTTTAAAGGTTGTTTAGTTCAAGTTAGTCCATGAATGAAAAACCGGTTAGTTACATAATTCCCATAAACCTCTTATACCAATGATAAATAATTCCAAATAATTTACATCATGGTTTAAGGTAAAATGACCAGAAAGAAAAGTCAATTTTAAGTATCAGTTGATAGAACACTGAGGGATTTTCACCATGCTTGATTATTATTCGAAAATGAATTGATTTGTTAGTAACTACAAACAATCTCGACTAAACAAGATAATAAATATATGTACTATTGAGTATACGGTTGGATTAACCTATAAAACGTTTGTATTTCAGCTCAATGAGAAAACAACAATTGCTCCTATAAGGATTGCATTATTTTTGGTCAATGTAACTGAAAATTCATTTATGTTAATGTCTAGATGAGATTCGAAATTAATCTACAGTTCTCGTATAGTAAAAAAGCTGCATATTTATTATGCAATCACAGAGTGTTTAGAAAAGAAACAACAAATCTTTGGGTTAGATTTCACATAAATAAGAGATGATTTGTATCAACTACTGGATAACTTTGTCCAGGTTTGTATATTGACAATTTTTTGAGAAAAAAAGGTTCATACCAAAGACTAGAAAAATCAGTAAAAATTTCATTTCAGTGATAGATAAAGCAAACACCATCATATTTAAAGCACAGAGTTTGTAAAATTAGTTTCTTTGATACGTTTTCATAGAGTAAGAACAAAAAAACACTGAACAATGAAGTGAAATCATTTTGTTCGCTCTAATTCTTCCCTATTCAACCAAGCTCAATTTGTGAGCGAATGAAATAAACAAAAGAGACAATGACAGATTATAAAATGGTCAAGTACAATGGAAATGAGTAGATTATAATGATTACAGTGGATTATTCGGTAATATCGATAACAATTATTAGGAACCTTTAATATTCATAACTGCTGATAATACACATAGTTAAAGATGGTATGAGAAAGGAACGTAATTTGTAGTGAATGAGAACAGAAGTGGGGCAATCGAATGTATTTGAACACAAAATTACAGAATCTGTTAGTAAAATCTGAGAACGATACAGTAAATTCTTCATTTGCGAAATGTCAAGCAACTGTCTCAGACTTCATTGTTCCTTCGTTTCCACACCAATCACTCTCTGTTCTCTTTCTCTTTCCTTCGATCTTCTTAACTTTCTGCCACCAGGCATTTCACTTTCGACTGGTGATACATACTACTTATATTTGTCGACATCAGTAGCACACACCACAATTACTTGAGGAGATTAAGTTAATATGGTGTCAAACATTTTATTAAAATAATGTTAAGAACATAAAGACGAACTATAGCAACCATAACCATAAAATTAGAAACTAATTGTGATTAAATAAAGTTACTACATAGAATGAATAGTGACTATAGACATGCAACACACAAATTTGCATTTATGAAAGATTCTGTTCATTTACACAGTCCATTGTGCACTTAGAAGTTATTGTGCACACATGTAATGCCTGTTAATTTATATTTGATTGTAATTCAGTAATTTAAACACTTAAAAAAACTTGGAGACTGGTATGAATGCTATGTTCAAAAAACACGTAAACAGACATAAAGCGGGTTAATAAAAGCAGAAATCTTTCGATAACTAGATTTGTCATAAAAAGGTCGAAATATATCCGTACATTTTCTTGCTTAAAGCATATATTCTACGGTAATCACTAATCTGTTTTACAAGAAATTAAAAATAAAAATCTCCTGTAATCAATATTAACCAACTGTAAATATCTCATTCCTATACGAAGTCAGTCACAACCCGAAGACTTCAGTGGTAACGTCACAGACAGTTTAGATGAGTGACTTAAGTTTCAGTACGCTAAGGAGCATCGGTTCCCACAAGATTACAAGAATAACTTGCTGAAAAGTGCAAAGTAGCAAGAGATCTAGGTTCAGAGTTTCCTACGGCGTGTCACTAACCACCTAAAATAAGATTACATGTATATGCCAGTTTATAAACTACATTTCATGACTTGAATATTTATGAGAAGTCAAAGGGAATTTTCAACAAGAACTAGAATCATTTAAAGTCAAGAAGTTTGAACTGCTGTTTATGCCTTAGTTTGAAAAGTCTGAGAGACGCACTTAGAAATTACAAAATAAATCACTCGTGAAAATTTAACCAGTGTCCAGTATGATCGATAATAAGTAGCTTCTATCAGTAAAACCTTAGAAAACATATAACAAAAAGTATCGAGTAATGTGATTAGTTAAAACCTGCCTAAAATGCTCAAACAATATACATTAAAGCTTTTGATATGTACTCCATATTTATCTGTAATGTGATGGAACAGGTATTCAGGTTGCCGAACGAAAAATTGAAAGTCAAATAGAATATTCCAAACTATAAGATAAAACCAGTTTAATATTGATAACCACAGTAGTATCAGTTATTGTTTCGAGAAGATTCTTGAAGTCTACAGACGAAATCGGTTAAAAATTTTCATCTATTCTGTACTTGAAAAAAATAATCAATAATTAGGAACTTCATTCACATAAGACAAACAATTTACTGTTGCATGGATACTAAAATAAGGAAAACCGCCAAATGAAAAATACAGATTCATGAGAAACTAATAAATGACATAGTAACAGAATATAAATGAATTTGTTCAGATCGACCTAGTTAATCTTCATTATAATGCAACTAATCATATGAATGCACAAATAGATGCTTTATTTGGTCTACTTCAATTGAGTGTCCCAAAGTAAACTTTTTAGCTAGTGATGCTATTACCAAGTGAAAACAACATTTCTCGGTTTTAAAGTCAGATTTTTATAGAACCGGTGATATCCATAGGTGTATACATGTCTTATCTACTTGATGTACAAAATGTAATAAAATACGCTGTTAGAAACAAGGAAAATTGTCAAGAAAGCCAGGAAATATTGAGGAAAATATATAGAGATCATGGAGTAAAGAAAATAACTTCATGTTGTTGAAATGTTGCAGAGGGATCAGTAAAGACTGATTATTGACCCCTGATTTTTATGAAGATATCAAAAGTATGGGGCCTCCTTATGGTTTCTAATGGCCTATTGACTATTTAAATGATTGATAATAAATTGACTTTTAAAAAGTCGTCCATATTTACACCACGTTTACAAAATCTGAATTGACTATACAGTTCAAAATTTTGACTTCTAAGAATCTCCACGAATATTTTAAACAATAAAGGGTAGGGTATGATGAGTATATTACTACAAATGTAAAATAATTTAAAGAAAGTAAGATTGACATAGCCTGATGATTCCAAAATAAGGTTTTTATAGTACCGGTTCACGTCCTCATATATATATATATATATGCAGTAACTTCACTAAAAACGGGACAGACTAAATTATTTAATTATCGGATAAATTGACATGTGTTGTAAGAATATGTGTGTATACACGAACTCGATGAGGTTAGTTGTACAATTCACTAACATAATGACAGATACAATAATAATAATAATAATAATAATAATAATAATAATAATAATAATAATAATAATAATAATAATAATAGTAAATAAGGAACAAAAGGGCTTTAAATTATCAAGTTCCGGACTAATAAAAATGGGAAGTATGTCAGTTACAAACCATAGAAAGGGAAAATAATAAATAATGATAATAACATAACGGTAATTTATTATCGGTAAAGTAGGTTAAAGAGTTGGATTACGAAAATATGATTAGGATTCACGAAGCTCGTCAGTAAAAAATTTATTTACTGGTGGTTAGTTCTAAAAGACAGTCACCGGAGTTCTAGTGAGAATCCGTGATCAATAAAGTTCGACTATGTCTACTATGAGGTAGTCATTTACCAATGACGTTCGAAGTTGGTTGTACAGTATCGCAATTTGACTGAATTCTGAAGTGTAAACCATTGAGACTCGCCGAAGCAGTATAAATTTTGAACGCTCACCATGAAGTTTGAAGGTGTTGGGCTCGGTTACTTGTGGGTTTGTAGACATACGCTACTGAATAATCCCGTATTAGAATGAAAAGACTGCCCAGAGCTTGCTGATTTTCAATAACAGTATGCATTGCCAACCATGAATCCTGTTTAGCTTTAATATTTGGGGTGTTTTGGCATATAAATGCGTAGTAATCTGATTACTATGTACGTAGAACAAATCATAGATACTTACAATGTGCTTATTATTCTGAAAACCACTAATTAAATTACTATATAGTACCAAATAATTCAACTGTAGTAATGAAACATATGTAGTCAAATATTTAACCATGACGCTGATTGATAGGTGAATAATTACCGTCATTAAGGAACATCGATTTCTTAATGCTCAAAAGTGTATCTTACTAATGAGCACCAACATTGGAACAACACATTGATCAAAGGCAGTTGCTTACAATTGTTTAACACATAAATTATGTAAATATTCATAAGGTGATATATAACACATAAATACAGCTTACAAAAATGATATCAGCGAGAAAATTTCCATTGCTTAAAAACTGCTGTAGTGAACAAGAACTCGAGTGGGGGCAATCGAATATATTTGAATACAAAATTACTAAAATCTGAGAACCATAGAGTAAATGCATGATTTGCCAAACATCAATCATTTGTCTCAAGCTTCACTGTTTTTTTGTAAATATCAGTTCATCATCTCACATTTCATTGTTCATGCATTTTCATACCAATTGCTTTCCGTTCCCATTGTTTCCTCCTTGATCTTCTACTAAAATACATTCTATTCCTGACTACCGTTATGTACTACTTGTGTGGATATATGCAGCTCACACCACACTACCATTTTTTAAAAGCATATCTATTGTTTTGGGTCCTACTTTTAACCATAACCATATGAAAGTAAGATATATTGACTAGTTATTTTTTGTTTTCGAAATCCAAAATAATTGCATCCTATTTCCTGTTCAGTGTTCAATGACCCACAATTAAATGTTTAAATAATTGAACTTCAACAACAACAAAAAAAACATTATCATCTACATGTTATCAGTCCATGATTATTTCATAAAATTTACACAGATTGTTTCTATGTGTTTGAAATAAGTAAAAAAAGTACATGATCAAATCACATTGAGATACAGATAGTGCAACAAGTATGAAATTGTGAAATAATCAATGATAGTGAATAGTAATGAAAGTTAAATGAAACAAACAACAGTGTTATAATGGAGGCAGTGATTTTCTAATTTGAAGTGAATTTACTTACATCTAATGAAATGAATTTCATCAATAAAAACTATTTAAATCTAAATAGGACTGTGATTTTGCATCATCAGTAGTGCTCATCAAAGTCAGTTAGTCGTAAGCAACAAAGAGCCTGATACATATGTGAATCTATTCAAGTTCTCACATTATATCAGTATAATGAGATGAAACTATCATGACAAATACTGGAATAGTAAGAGTAATAGTAGACTTAGTGACAACAGGTAGATATATAGTGAGAATAATTCAAGAAGAATGAGTCAATTCGTATAACAGAGGGTACAAAATAATTTTGAAATTCAAGATCTAAGACAAAATAAAGAGTGAATGAATCTATGCCGTTGTGACCCATACCGATCCTTGTCACACATCATCTACAACCATTATTTACGATAATGTCGGGACCAAACCAAATGGTCTTCATTTATGAACATGATATAGCTCAACAGTCAGGAAATTCATGGCTTAATGTCTCGACTTAGTTTGGTTGCTTCCAAGTTACTCCCAACATACTACCACTCCAACCATGCATCGAGATAGGCAGTGGTTGGCTGTACAGGATATACATTCTAACCACTTAATTTGATGATTTGCTATCTTAACAACGGATTTTTTAATGTTTGCCTAGTGCTTTGAGTATAACCAATACTCTGGCAAATCTAGAACCCAAGAAGTTTAGTCTTTGGAGTGAGCAGTTTGTTCATTACACTAATTGACTATTACTAGTAATGGTTTATATTACTTAATTGAAATAGTTTTTGTTAGTGTGCTTCTAGCATACATTGTCATCAGTTATGACTGTCTTACACAGTTATTCTTAAAATCCACTGTCATCGACTTCTTACTAGGACTTCAGGAAATGATCTAGAAGTTAATCACTAGCAAATACACCGTTATTGTTAGCAAGATAAGCTCGCGGAGATTGCTAGTTATCATAAATTGATTGAAGTTGGATGGAAACTAGATGATCTGAAAAGTAACACGTTCGCCGTTGAATCCGAAAGTTCTGAGTTCAGTTACTGACATGGTCATGGGTGTTTACTGCTGCAGAATCATATAACAGGACAAAACATCTGTCGAATATTTTTTGATTTCCAATAGTTGTCTAGATAAGAATGGTTTGTGATGTACATATGACAGCGTTTTGTGTGCATGGGTGCATATATAAATATATATTTATTTAATCAGATTTGTTGAAAACTCGCAAGAATTCTATTTGTGAATTTTTATTGATATATTTATAAATGTGTATTCATACGTACACACATATTACCAGTCAACACTTACACATCGATAAGACTTGGACTAGAAGGTATGGTAATACTTCGCCAACCTTTACCATATCTACAGGAATAAATCAAATCAACATAGCAAAATACTGATATATAAACAAAAAAAACTATAAAATAAAATAAATACTTAACAACAATATTCAATAGTCTGTTCGTCAATTATCGATTCTAGTTTTTCTATGGATATTTATTAGTTCATTTAACTTACGCTCGTTCAGTATTCAATCTCTTCGATTGATTCTTTCCATTAAGGGTAGATTTTGAAAGTGATGAACTTTTTTCATCTGTACAATAAAAATATATACATGAGAAATCCGGAAATTAAAACAGAAAAAAAAGAATAATCAAACAAAAAAAATCCAAATATTTAAAGATTAAGTGGAAGACAGTTAATCCTCATTTTAAATGATTTTGACAACTTTGTAGAATATAAAGAATTCAATTCAGAAGTTTTCAGGATCAGTGCTGAATGCAAATTCCAGTGACATTTAAAAATATTTACAGGGAAGCACATTTAACTGTAGTGTTGACCACTGTCAGATAAATATAGTCTTATGTCAAAGAATGACTTCAATTAGACAATCATTACAAACCGGGAAGTATTGGATAGCTGTTTCGTGCTAGTATGAGACTACTCAGAAATTCATTATAACGAATTAAGTGGAAATTGCTGTTTGAAGGTTCACCTAATCTGATAATCGAACGAAGACTCTGTGACACAATAACAGATAAGCTAGCTATTTCGACGTACCACAGCCCAGTCCTAGTTAGGAAGAGGGAACACGAACAACCACAACCAGAATAGTCGGAAATACACTCATTTATATATTGATTCATACACCCATTTTCGACTAATAATTACGATGAAATCACATATATAATAAATCATATACTCATTATAGTTCATGTTAACTTAATACAAGAATATCGTGTATTATACAGAATAAAAAGATCATACGGGAAAACAAAACCGAATATTACACTGAATAATCATCATATTGAATTAAAATGGAATTAATGTTGAACCAAAAATCATAATCAATAAATCAATCTAATTTTGACTTTTCATCCCGTCATATCAATAATCTAGCTCAAGACATTCAGGTATCTCTGAGGACGCTTAACCTTGATATAATTGAATGGGCATCCAGTTACCTGTATTTCTAAATTCATTCAATTTTCAATATTACAAAACTCTTATTCGTTGCCACCGATAGTATTTAATTGATGCATGATATTTTAAACTATAATGGTCACGATTTTTCCCTAGAACTCCTGAAATTAACCATCAAAGTTAGATACTAGTAGGCGAACGATGGCTTCTTGTCTAAAGTCAGCTTAAAATTCAAAGCTATAAAGTTCAATAGACTTTACAGTATGCTATACTAAAGAAGTACAACTTTGTACTTTTGCACTACATTTTCGGTATAAACAGTTAGAAACCGGTATAATCGAATCAGAGTTTCTTCATTGGAGATAATTCAAATACACATAGTAAACAGTTTCGTTAGTGTATTTTATACCCATCAACGTTGTTTGAATGCAATATTTAACATACATAATATGTATCCATGACATCAATTCCACAAGAGTTATTCTTTATAAACATATAAAAACATTTATTCTATTTACTAATTTATCATTTTGTTGAATAATTCAACCCAAATGGTGGGCAAGATTTTCATTCATTGAAGTATGAATAACCTACAAAATTGATCTAATACGATTATCCATAATATTTGATAATATTGTAATTCAGTTCATAGTAATATAATATGATATTCAATGAACATAACATGGCTTATAGGTTTAATGGTAATTTAGTGTGAAATTCACCTTATATTTAAAATATATTCAGTTATTTATGATTTACATAGACTAATTATCAAACAGTATAAATGAATTCATTGAACTAACAAACGGTCAACATGTTTTTAGATGAATAAAATTTACATCTGCCATCAGGTTTATCTTCTTCTGTGTATCATGTAAATTCTAGTCTCTTCTGTTTGAAATGTCAGTTAACCATATATATATATATCTATCATCAATCTTTAAAAAGTGTCATAAATGCATACTGTTTAAGAGTAATTAATGAATAAAAGGACGAAATATCTGTTCAGCGCACCTTGTTCTTTTTAATTATTCTCCAACTGAAATTGTTCTGCCATAAATACTATCATTACAGTTTAGTTCGCTATTTACTGTTACTATGAAACCAACTTATTTGTACACTACGTTTTAAGATTTGAACCCTAACTACGCCCACTCTAGAATTTCAGTCAGAAACATCACTATTATTATATTATAATTATTAGCTTTATTCAATATTATATTTTTGGTACAATATAGAATTCTCAGCGTTAAGTATTTCAACAAGTTTCCGTTTCTTTCTTCTTGGTCGGTCCTGGCCATATATATTGGGTGATCGACAGTTAGATGTTAGCAGTCCAGTTAATGAACATCTGAATAATGTACATTCTTTTCGTTGTATAATGCCAGCAACCACATTCTCTCTTATTGAGCTTTTTGTAATTTTGACTACGAAAGGTTGTACACTTCTCAGAAACGCAGCAGAATAGGTTATGTGATTAATAGACATAATGATATATTGAAACAAACAAAGATAGATAACTTGTTGAAATATCTAAATGGCAGGAACAGGTAGCCCAGATGCTCAAGCAGGCCGCCGTATACAAACAGTGCATTTTGAAAATAAATACTCTTTAAAACCTTTTTACATAATGGAATGAAAATTCACCATGTAGGGAAATATTTTTGCTTACCTTTTAAAATATTTGTTGAATTGTTCATCGTCTCGATATGATGTTGATGCTCAGAAGGAGAAGAAGAGGAGGCCTAAATTAGTTAATTTTTGTCAGGAAAAAAAAACAAAAACGCGAAGTCAGTATAATGCAGAATATGAATCATGGAGAGAATTTTAAACGATCTAGAAAAACTAACGGTTTTGTAGATTTATATACTACTAATTCATATGATTATCGTTATAAGTGGTCTAAGGATATGTTTAGAATCAGTCACAATAGCACAAATGCACTCATTGTTTGGCTATTTCTCTGGATCTTAAGTTATCGGGTTATCTTACTCTTTTTTTACCGCAAATTCACTCTTCTTTTTGAATCATTATATTGGTAATGGCTAGAGTTTTCTTCTTCTACTATTACTATTACTACTGATCTTATTACTGTCTCTACTATTCTCAATTGTCTTGATAATTTTATCTCATTGTGTCAATATGCTATGGCGAATCGGATCAGTGAATGTGTGCGCCACATGCTTGATTGATTATGACTGATTAATTAATAGCAAAGTAAGTGGTTCAGAATTGTAATCCAGAAACCAACACTTGAAAGTCATCAATTTCAATTCATTTAGTCGACTACATAAATATATCATTTGTGAGTCCAAGTATGAGTTTGTATAATATGTTACGTATTTTACTTTTCCATACAAAGATTGATGATACTAACCAATCATTCACAATTGAATAGTTTAAAATAATTATTACTACAAATAATAATCAGTAACATTGAATAAACACATTTGAAGAATGTGCATATTTCTAAATGACAATGATTTATTGAAAGAAAAAAAAAGAAACGGCTACAGCAAATCAGAAAAATTATGTTTACGAATCAGAGAATTTCTTAACTATTCAATAAGCTTGAATAAATAATTTTAAACATGTTTTCATGTACAATTAGTACAGTGATTTATTGATATTATCTTGTTACTTAAAATAACATGTTGTCACTAATTAAACATCAGTTAGATCATCATCATAATAATAATTTGCAAATGTTGCATAGATTGTTGAGACTAGAAAGAAATATTGGATATATTCTTTAACTTATGTATTTATGGTAAGTAAACTACATCGTATCGGAGATATATGTAATAAAATTAGGTGAGAGAGTTTAGGAATGAATCATATAAGTGATCTGTATTGTTGTAGTTGACTAAGAAAATAAGAACTGATAAAAGAACTCGAGACAATTGATATAACTCCAAATCCTTCTACTAGTACTGCTACTAAAACTACCCTAAAAAAGATTACTACTCCTTCTACTACTATTACCACTACTAACAATGCTAGTACCATTACTACTGATACTAACACTAATACTACCAATGCTACAACCAGTAATGCAGCTGTTAATATTAATATATTTAATACTACCAATAAATCATCACTACACCTATCACTACTACTGCCACTACTACTACTACTACTGCTACTGCCACTACTACTACTACTACTGCCACTACTACTACTACTACTACTACTGCTACTGCCACTACTACTACTACTACTGCCACTACTACTACTTGGATAACTACCACTGGGCAGATTCTGTATTAATTTGATTCAGAGAATCAAGAAAAAAATAACAAACAGAGGTTAATTGGTACGAAATAATGATTGATGGGAAAAAATTCATAAGAACGCAAGATAACAAAAATTTTCATAAGTTATTATATAAATGTCTGAGCTATTGTGATTGACAATTAATCATGTTGATCACAAACTCTACGTGTTGCTTACCACAACTAGGAATCCACTCATATTTATTGTAAAAGTATTATCTATTAAATAAATATGCACAAGTTGGGTTATCGTATGATGAGTAAACAACACTATTTAGCTAACAGGATCTAAGTAAAAATGAGTTAATAAATATAAGGTTTAGAGCATGATCCAATTATGTATCATTTACTGAATAATGGTTTTACACAGTAAGATCAAAACATTTATATATCTGAGGCGAAAGGTTTACTGAATATTAGGCCGATCTAAATACATTTGTCAACTATCTTTAATAATTAATTGAAGAAGACTCGGGTTTCAATCTGAATTGAGGTTGTTGGCAAATAATGCTAAGAGGTTCTATAATAGGACAAGACAACTATGTAATTATTTTCAATAGTTTCCTAGCTAAAACAAGTTAGTGTTATAAAGTATCTTTGAATAAACATCATTCACATTTCAATATGAACATCTGTTAGGTGTATTTGTTTTCCTCATTAGGATAAATTTCGTCATACAGTAAAATAAAATAATCCATAAAATTTCGACTAATTTTATCATCAGTTTACCAAATCCTTTTTATGTACTCAAACATATTGAAAGAAAGATATTTTGTTAAGTAATTTAATTAAATAAATTTCTTGAAAAAATTCTGTTTAATTATAAATACAAAATAGATTCAGTTGTATGTTTGTTGAAGTTAGAACAGTTATTTGTTGGTACACACATATTTGGACAAAGTATATATTATCAGATCTTTAGAAGGAAGTCTTATGATTTTTGTAATATTCGATTTAGTGTGGCTTTTTTATTTATTTATGTAAACACATAAACATTGGTACAGGGACGCACCAAATAGATATGCGCCATATAAATCATTCGATTCCTGTGAGGGCTGAGATACTTCTCAGGTGGCCAAACCAAAGCAGTTGGTTTTCTTAGGGGGACACACCCGAAGCCTTTGACCTATATGTCTAGTCCACAAGTCAGTGGAGAAATGTAAGGAGATTCAGTCCCATGGTAGCCTTTGATAAACAATAGGTTCATACGCCATTTATTCCTTCAGGATCCTAGGGCCCATGCATACCACTGGTTTGGAATTAGGGTTTTCAAACTCCCCTAGGTGGATCCTCTGTATCCGCCAACCCGACTAAAGCACCGAACATTCGCTTTTCGTCCTTTGAATTTCGTAAAGAACAGTAATGCCACAAGAAGGCAGTGAGTAGGACTTGGGTGGCAGTGATTGTTTGCACGTGGTCACTTGAGAGCATTTGGAGGCTAATAACATCATTCAGCCCTTACTCAAACAAATACGATCTCTTGATAAGTTCTTAGAGTCTCTTTTTGTGAATATAAACAGTCCTAAGGATTTACACCCAATTGGATAGTCTCAAACGGAATGAAATCCACGCCCAGAATTCCATTGTTATCCACATATCGAACATATTAAATTGTAATTCATTTGAAAATTAACAAAATTAATTACCTACCAAAGTATTTAAATAAACATGAAAAACAAACAAACAAAAATACACGTTGTTTACATTAGATAAATTTGATTTATTTCTTGATGTATACAAATGGGTATCATGTACAGTTGTACATCTTCCTGAAGATGGTGAATCACATTCACGTGATGAATTGAATAAATTAACACTTCCATTTAATTCACAATCTGCTGATGTTTGTCTACCATCATTAAAATTATTTCTTGTGTACTGATACCATTGAAGTTGTGTGGGTGATCGTGTACGTGAATTATTGTAAATATGTTGATGATAACTACTACCATACTGTGGTGGAAGTAGATTTATTCTATCTGAATATTGTATGCCACCATTGAAAATATCAGCTGGTGATTTCATACTATATCGATTTTGTGCTAACCAACGTCTACTAGCATTTGGATTGACGATGTTATTACTACTAGTAGTAGTACTGATATTAGTAGTTGTAGTAAAAGGTTGCGTAACTCTTGAATAGCATAATTCATTAAGACTAGCAGATTTAAATTGATCAGCACTTAAGTAGGCGTAATTTTCACCAGGCGATGAGAGTTTATTATGATTTATTTGTTCGCATGGTATATAAGCATCATATCTGTATGGTTTATCATAAATTAAACGTGATGTCGGTGGGGTCGACTGAGTACCAGTTAGTGATTGATGAATAAAATTCAAATTATACTCAGGCTGATTAGATGTAGTGATAAATGAACAACTATTATTAAATGTAACTAAAAATATAAAAAAATGTAGGGAAAAATGTAAAACATTAATTTTAAAAAAAATGAAAGACTATACTATAAAGTAACTGTTATGCAAATAAAAATTACAGTTCTCTATTCAGTAAATACACAAACATAGCAACTAAAGTCCTTGTTTCAAAATCAGAAGTAACGCTCAGTAAATTCAATAAATAAGAAAGGTTGGTTCAGGAAAAAGAGTTCTTCGGAAAAATTTATTTCAAAGATGTACATTTTCAAATACATGCGTATCTTTCAAAATGATAACAACGGCAATCGTAGTGATATTGAAATTTCGCTAAACTTGGTGATATGATATGAATTATCTCTTACAGACAGTTAGTGATTGCCGCTTGACAATACATTTTTCACTAGAAGTTGGAAACAAACAAACTATTAACTTTTTTGATGTCGAAACGATAAAAAGTGATAGAGCACTAACGAAGAAATCCTTGTAAAATGATCATTTACCAAGCTTTAACAGCCAGGACCTCATTAGTCGAAAGCGAAATTTACTTATATTTGTCACTATATAAATACGAAGAATTTGTAGTCCCGAGGTCATAAATAACAAACTGGACCTCCTTAAAAAATATTTATAAAAAACGGGTGTCCATTTGTATTTATTAACAAGAACATAAAACTTAAACCTCCTTAAGTAGAAATAACCTCCATACCAAAGAAAGCTCTTTATTTGAATGTTGAAGTGATATAACCATGAATAACCTGAAGAGAAGTTCTGACAACATTTTCTAACATGACCATAATCTCTAGAAATGTTTCCTTCTTTTTTTCTTATCTCACAGCCATCTGCCTTCCTTCTATCTTCTTCAATACAGACCTTTCTACCCCTGACTGATATTCTTCTGTTTCTGTGATCCTCCTGATTACAATTCATCTGAATGTCGAAATTTTATTGTATCACATTGAGCCTTCCGTTTCCAAATTACAACTACATTTTCTATCTTCATGATGAATATTTAAGCTATGGACAACCGCACTATTGTTAATTCTCTAAACAAAAAATGGCGTTCTTATGCTTTGATTTGTTTCACCGCATTGTTACCATGTTTAGCAAAATTTTAATATCACGATTATTGTCATTATTATCATTTTTGAAAATAATAATATACTTATTTGGGATTGTACATCTGCAAAAATGAATATCCCGGAAAAACCTCTTCATCAAACCAACCCATTTTTATTTTATGTCTCAATGGATATATTTTGTTTAGTTCAAGAACCGTTAATAACGGTTAAACAGAGGATACATTAAAGTAAATAGAATTTTTTCCAAGTTATTTTTGTGTTTCCATGTGCATCTCAGACGGCTAGAAGTAACATAATACGCCAATACAAAAGTCAACACGTTATGTTTATGAGAACATCATATCATATGTTTCTCGGTTGCTGATATACAGTCTAAATGACTAGTTAACTTGGTAAAAAATATCTAATTATTCAGATATAACGAAATAGTTTAAATTGAAATGATTAAACAAATTGACAATATTTCTAATGAAACAAAAGTGATATACAGAAAGCTTTGTACAATGTTTTTATGGCCTTAGTTTGCTTATTTATTGAACATTTCACATGAGTTACATTTTATTTGGAACTTTTCAAAGAAAAAAAAACATTTTTCTCGAGAATAATTGTGAAATACTCCAAGTTTCAATTTTACAAAAATTATCAATAATAACAACACACGATGAAGTCAAAATCATCTTATTTATTCCACAGAAAATGATCTAACTCGAAACAGTGATATATATATATATATAACATCATCGTGACATCAAGGAATCTTAGAATAAAATCTTGATAAAAAGAAGTCAAGCTTTCAGTTTATCGTAGTACTGAATTCATTCAGAAAACAGAATTTAATCAAAATGATTGTAGAAAGGGGTGCTCATACGTGTTTAGAATAGTCTAATCATGTAAATAACACTAGATATAAACGTACGTTTTGTCTCATAGTTTTATAAATAAACAGTTTATATCACTTCACTTGTCAATGATCAAGAATAAAGTTAGGTGAGGATGAGAAGACGTTATATAGTTTCTGAACATGCACTTTTCTGGTTCATTAAATATTTAATCATTGGAATAATACAAAAAATATATTATGGATTAGACAAACGAAATCATCAGTTACTAATGTAAATATCTCAATCCAACAAAAAGCTGGTTGGGGGTCTGAATAGCTCGCCCATAACATCTCTAGCTATAATGGTGAGTGATACAGATTTGAACATATCGGAAAGCACCGCTTTCATCAACTCTAAATATACGCCTTAATGATGAGTGTTAGATATCATAAGATCGAAACCCAACGATGTGGATAAAATAAGTATAAAGTGAAATTTTTAAGGATTATCGAATGGTTGAGGTTGAGTTAACCAGTTTCTGCCAAGCATTACTTATAATTGGTGTTACATACTACATATATCGACAGATATAAGTAGTATACACTACAGAGATATGGAGTGGTGTCTGATCACTAGTTAGCGTTCATGCAGAAAACGATGAAGAGAAAAGTCTGTTTATCTGACATAACACTTTTTTAAAGCTATGTCACTTGTGGAGAAATTCTGCTATTTCATTTCTATCCGACGCTTGTGCTGTTCATAATTTCGTCTAAATTGACAATGAAAACTTCACGATTAAACTATTCATTTCGAAGAACTCGATTACCATACAATTATTTTCTTCAGGTAGATCTTCACCGCCATCTCATGAACCTTCACTCTAGTCTCAATACTGTTCAGTTAATAGTTTCCTAATCTTTTTAGTTCCAAAACAATAGTTAGAGTTGTATAACTTAAGCATAAAAAAGCAAGAGACTGAAGAAAAGTGGTTTTTAATAGCTATTTTTATTTATCTTATTATAAAGTAACAATTGAAAGAACAGAATGTAACCATTTATGTCGAATTCCACTAATGACTTTTTTTAATAAAAAGTCAAAACAATGAATAAGTGAAAAAAGTGAGGGGAAGCAAATCTTTAGAAACAAAAGACAAATATTTACTTTGGCATTCTAGTGCTTACTGTACGTTCATTCACACCTACATACACATGTATAGTTATATGTCTGTACATACATTGTATGAAACTAAAATGATAGAAAACACAATATATCGAATTTGTAAACTCTTGGTGACTACTGATTTAAACGATCTAATCTAATCTTCTACCAGCTTGTCGTAATGGCACAACATAATGGTTATGAATGCATACACAAGAATAACACAAGTAGCCCATATACAAAAATAATAGTGTGACAATGACAGTAATAATAATGGTTTCAAATGTTAGCCAACCATTGTTCAAGTGTGGATCATTTCTCGGTGTGTGTACAGTTTGACAAGAGATATATGAGACAATAGGGAAGTAGATCGAATAATAAATACACAGAATAACAAAAGTAACCAATGATGTTATTGTAGAAGAATAAAGACAATTCAGTGGTGAAAAAATTTTCTGACAATATCATATACTCAAACTGTACAATGGTATTTATAGTTAATTTACAAATCTAATAGTCTTTTTAAAAATAGAAGGACAATTACATCATATCATGTGTCAAAAAAGGTTCTTGAAAGTCAAAAATTGAAGAGAGATAACAAAATTAAACGAAATATGAGGAGAATAATTATCCACTTGACGAGTGTGAAAAAGTTGAAAATGAAGGTGAAGACGATGATAACTAATCATTTCAGTGCTTCCAGGTTTTCAATGGTGGTCTAGCTTAGATCGAATAGTGAATTCAACTGTAAAAATTCTACGATCTCCACAAATCCCTATACTGATAATTTAAATTGAAATTAAAAAGATTAAAACCTCTAGACGGATGTCATAAAATCAAATTACCGTTGATGAAAATTAAGCGTCAGGACGATGAAAGAATTTTGGCTTGTATGTGTCACTTTTGAATATAGAGTTCAGGATTGAAATAATGGATTGAGAGCACCTCTACAATTCATTAGTTATTAATATGTGCTCCATTCGAACCGAATCGTCTGATTCTATAGATGATTTTGTAACGTGAGGCAAGATGTCCTAATAATGATCTGCTGATTAATTTACACCCACATTTCGAAAGCCACGCAGGATAATGTTCAGAGACGCGTTTGAAAAGTGCTAGCTTTGTGAGACCAATGTAACCTGCTCCACAAGAGTAAGTGAACTTATAAATAAGTATCGATTAGTCTCAAAATGAGAGTTTTCTTTGACACATCCACGAATAATGGGATGGCTAGAAAAAACGATGTGAACCTTGCAGGGATAAAAAGTTTTCCTAGAGGATTTTGTTAGATGATTCTTTAAAATTTCTGCACCAGTATTTCCCTTGATCTCAATGTTAATGTGCGGGGGTTTCGTAGAAACCTCATGACATCTTCCAGATCACAACTTAGGTTTAATTTTTCGCTCAATAAACCTGGATGGACAGCCTTTTTTTGAGAAATATCTGTTGGAGGTTGGATAGTTTCTCGTTAATCGTGCATTCCGAGAACGTTCGCCTAGCTCTCATTGGGATTGCATTGACATCAGCAATCGAATTTACAAAGTGGAAATAGTCTAGTGTTCAGTATTTGTTGATCTGATTTCAAATCGGTTGTAGAATTTCTGCTAGCTATTTAGCGGTTGCATTGTACGATGAATTATTCATGTGTAATATGAGCCTTACGTACTCTTCCTTTTCAAGTACTTTTGGAAGGCCGTATAGTTTTGAAACAACAGAACTAGATGGTTTTAGATATCTCAGAAACTCAACACTGATAACTGATTCACCTTTTATCATCTTAAGGATTTTTGTAAACTTCTGTTCAATTTGTCCAGGGGTATCCTTTTGAGTTATTTCTTTAAAAAAACTTGTCGGTATCTGATAATATGGATAATAATTTTGTAACATGATCATGAGGATTCATAACACACCATACTGGCACCTATATCCGGACGCCCTATTTATTTATTTTATTTATTATTGTTTGTATATTTATTTGTAAATTAATTATAAATGAAGCATTATTAACTGATATTGTCGTAAAGAAAATGTTCTTCGCTGAATCGTCTTCATTCTTTTTCGATTTTATTTAAGTTAACATCCACGGGTATATATACAGAGATATTTACTCCACTATACTTACAATAATTAACAACAATTAATTGATCCGATCTTCTTCCTTATTCATACTTCATGGTTAGTGCCGTAGAAGATATACATGATTAGTAGGCTAATGTTTAAGACATCGTATTCGAAAACAGATTTGTATATGACTGTTCAGTTAAGTGACTAATTTCATATTCATTCACATAAATTGTGGGGTAAACGACCAAGCATACAACAGTATATTTACCCACTGAATGTTTTTATTATGGAGCGATGGCTTACTAGTCGGGTTACTCCACTTTTAACCATTAAATAACAAAACTTTAACGCTCGAATTGTTTCAATAACTTTAGGTGTTGCTCACAGTTCAGTATATACACTTGAATTGGTAAATAGGTTACACTAACTGTCAACGAATGTGGTTAGGTAGATAGATAAACAGAAAAAGCGTATTTTGCTATTGTTTAACATTAAGTTACTAACCTGGAGTGATAGAACGCCGGAATAAAGTTTGATAATTCAACTAGAATAAAGATAAACAGAAACCAAATTAAATTCATTAGGAAAGAATAATCAACTTACATAAATCGATTGACTAGTATTAATAACAATAGAACTAGCAATAAGTGCTTCCAGGTTTTCGATGGTCGTCTAGATAACGTTAGTTTGTGATTTAAACCATGAATGTTCTACAGTCTTCACGAATTCATCTATATTAATAATAATCGTGTGCTTGCTGGCGACTAGCTTTAAGATGCAACTTCTGGAATTTCGGTCAGAAACCATGACCAATCGAGTTCAACCATGTTGAGTATTAGACAGTGATCCAACGTAGAATGTTACCATTGTGATGTTTTGCTAGTCCTTAGTGATGACTAAATTTAACAAATTAGACTAAAATTTCCCCTCAAGTTTAAGAGACTCATCATCATAAACATTATGCTTTGATGTTAGTTTGCCTGCAGTGGTCTGGAATAGTGACTGTATTACAAAGTACTTGATATGATCTAATAGATCTCAGTTTCACAGGAGGTCGTTAAGAGTAGAAATGCCTCAGTGTTTACACCTCATATTGTAAGACCGGACGATTTGAGTTTGAATCCCATATGAACCACCAGTTACCCCAAGAGTGCTAGTAAACGTCGTTAGTGAGTGTCTTCTTCATGCAAGAATCGCTCCAGACTACCACAAATAGGCGAGCTCGACATTTCGACGGGGAGCAAGATACAGACTGTGACAAAGAAAAAGTGGTAAAGTGAACGTACAACTCCAAGAGGGACGAGTGTGGCGCGCGCCACATATGCGGGCAGACATAGGTAGTGTGTAGCCGGAATTGGAATGCTTTCCGGCAGAAGATTGAAATAGAGAGAAAAGAAATAAAAACAGAGAGTAATAGAAATAGCATCAGGATTAGAAGAATGATGGAGTCTGTAAAGGATAACTCAAAGAAGATATAAAAACGATATATTTATTGTATGATTTTCATATTTTACAAAGGAGCTGTGTGATTTCGCACAAAACAGTAAGTTAATTCTCCTCATCAAGTCTTTGTTTATTCCAGTGCAACCTCAGTTCCAATATTTTTTCATACTTTTCGACTCAATGAAGTTAGTACTTCGTCTGGGGACCTATTATTTATTTCTGTTCTGTTTTTACTATGACTTGTTTTTAGCACCATGGTATTGATTTATTTTATATTTCACTTCATAGTGTTGATGTGGTGTGACAAAATTAAGACAAACCACATTTATGCCGGGCGTTATTACCAACTATTCTCTCATTAAATCATTACCCGGAGTGTATTAAATTTTCTTAAACTGTGTTATCTTCAGCCAAGACATTTCTATTAGTTTTAGTTACAATGAAAATTTCAATGCCAAAAGTTGATGTGTCAGCTGATCAAATGCTTGGCGTTAAGTTCTTAAACGTTTATTGAATTCACTAAATATTCCCTTACTTCAGCTCTAAATGGTAGAGCAAAGGTGTTAAGTGGAACTCGAAGCGCTAGTTAATGTGCCAAAAATAAGGGCGTCTCCACTGTTGCGAGTGATTTCCAGCTTCTTGAAGCTCTTGAAAGCACACCAACCTTAGTAACAAAATTAGTAATTATCCACTGAAGCTGTGAAACATAATTCACAGTTTTCCCAATAAATTCCTGAAACATTTCTATTCTATATTGGTTGGGCGAGATGTTTTCACGTCTTTCCTTGCTTTAAAAAAGTGTCAAGGAATTCACGAATGCTATTAGTAAAAGTTGATTAACTTTTTTAGGAAATGTCGAGTTCCTCAAAATCGTACAAGCACGATAAGCAACAACGTAGGTCTTTAAATTTCAGATGTAGTATTTGCACTAATTATCTTATGGTAAAATAGAAAAATAAAAGGGAAACGTTGAAAAATAATCAAATAAAATATAGTGATTAGTTTGAAAGAGATGAGGTGTTATTAGCATTGGAATCCAAGATACTCATCACATCCCATTTGGGAATCATCAGCTTCATGAAGGTGACGGATTCCACGGATAGCAATATCCCATCTCTCTTGTACAATTCTGTGTCATATTTGTCTCATTGAGGGAATTCGCACAGGATACTTAAATCCCAACCAAGACTGATTACAATTCAGTCCTCGATATAAAAGACAGCATAATTCAAACCATTCCAAATAAAAATAGGGATTAATTGCTGAGATTTATCTTTTCTTTATAAAGAAACGAAGTAAATAATTAATGCGCAATGACTCATTTGGTATTGGGCTGATAACAACAAAGTATAGTAGAAACAAGTACAAATCATTTGAAACCACACAAGTTCCCGGTCGAGTAGAAAGAATATTATTTTTTTAAAAACGAGAAAACTTATTATAGGAACTGAAAAATGTACGGTGATAGAAGTATTTGACGCTTAACTTATTTTGAGTTGGTGCTCTTTTAAAAAAAGCTATTTTTCATTTACTTGCCATTTGTACACCGGTATCAGTATCATTACTATAAATAATAATTATTATTTGACCGGGTCTGTTGTGAGGTCGTAACTCACTTAAGACAACGGTGGACGGTGGAGCGATTTCGTGGATTGCTTGAAGTTAGACATTAACACTGTTGGATGCCGGCTCAGTGGTCTAAGGGTTAAGCGTTCGCGCACGAGACTGATAAGGGCGGGATCGTGGATGCGCGCTGCTGAGGAGTCCCATACTAGAATGAGACGGCCATCCAGTGCTACCAAATATTCCATGGTGGTCTAGCTTCAACTGGCTCAGGAATTCAAATAATAAATAACTATTATTCCTAGCGGATTTATTTTACACAGTGATATGCTTATAAATAAACGTATCCCAGAATAAACCAGTTTTTAGTTCATGCAACGCGTGATTCACTGCTTCATTATTTTTGTCACATGTTAATAGAAAGAGCAAACTTCACTGGATAGTTTAAAATGCCAGTTATTTTACGTAGGCTTATTCTTAATAAATATTCGTGGAGGCAGTAGTTTTTCAGAATTGAGAGTTTGTAGAAGTCATCAAATTTCATAGTTTTCATCATGAAATGATCGTAGTTAGACACCTAATAAAAACCAAGAGGCACTTGAAAGTTATTTCTTCCTAGTATATAACTCTTCATCAGTGAATATCCATGACCCTATCAGAGGTCGAATCCAGAAAGTTCAGGTCTCCCAATGAACACTTAATCTTTGAACCATTGAGTCAAAATTCTATGATTTACAAGTCCACTTCCAATCAATTCATGATAATATCTAGCCATCCTGCAATACTGACAAAACAGCTGCTCAGTGCTTTTTAACTCTCAATGGTTATCTAAATAAAGTCATTCCATGATATAAAAGTCAACAATCTCCATAAATATTTCAGAGTAAATATTTATTTTAATTCACTAGCAGTTCCACAAATAATTATTACATTAGAACAGTAGGTTTTGATACATGTTTTGTTTTCAGTGTGAACATTGGTGATCCTATCAAATTGTCAGTCATTTAGTCAGTTAAAACGTAGGACCAGGTACATATATGCATCGGTCCAAGTTGCCATACCTCATTAGCACATTAACATGAACACCAGATTCATAGAAGTGATTAATTCAGTGGTGGTAATATACAAAAGAAAGATTGCGTATAAGGATATAATACAAGAAGAAATAATTAGTTCGTAGAAAGAAAGATATGAAGTGATTTTAATCTCATAGTTTAAGAGAAGACAGAGAGTGTACACATCGACGCCATTGTGATCGATTCTGAGCCATGTTACCCAGAGTCTCTAACTATTGATTACGATAGTCAAATTGTAAAAAACTGATATTAAACAAAGTAAGTTACAATTCTCTAATTCAAAAGTTAACAGTCGATAATGAAACTAAATTTATATCTTACCTATGAACTTATTCATTAATCAAAACTTAATTCTATTCAACTTAATATGTTAGATAAAGTTTGATATTTATACCTATTTAATTTATTTCATATTACCGAATAAGAAAAAAAAATATCATCGATTAACAGTTAGTTGCAAAAAAACAAAAAAAAAAAAGGTAAACTAAACAACTAATATCATGTTTGTGTCTATTCTGTCGTTTCTTCATCTTTCTAAAGTCAAAAGACATACCCTATTTGATTCTCTTGATGATTCATCTGTAAACAAAATAGAAAGAAATAAAAGACAAAAGGATATAAATCTTGGTGTTCAATACTAAAACAAAAAAAAAACGAAGAAAAAAAATTAGTTAAGAATTTCATTTGTAAAATATCAAACAATTAAATTTATTTTCCATTAATATGGAATGTAAATAGTTTATGAATGGTGTATGAACTATGTACAGTAAACAAATTAATGTAGTGATACAAACGTATTGTGTATAATTCAATAATAATAATGATGATGATGTAGATCATCAATAACCAATGTCATTTATAAGTAAATATGTTGAATAATTATCTACTCCAAATTTAGTTATTTCAAAGTGTTGCACACACTTTCAGTTGACGGAATGATCATCAATTCGACTCTTTACAATATTGTTAGTGTAATTTGATAATAAATATTGAAACAAGACGTATGACTAATTCATCTGGTATTGTTTTACTTAAAATATTCCCATTGATGTTTTTGGACTGAAATTGATCAGTCTCTTATTGACATATGTGCATACTGTGCGTGCAGTTTCGATGTTGCCTTAATTTACAAGCATTATAAGCAAAGGTGGATAGTGGCTAGCATTGGAATCTAGGATGCGCGGTTCGTCCTATTTGGGACTCGTCAGCTGGATGTACCTGCATCCCAGAGAGTTGATGTTCACTCTGGGACTCGAACCCAGTACCGTTCGGTTCAAACGCCATCGCGTTATCCACTCAGCTACTGAGTCCTGATAGCCACTTGCTTGTGCAGTGGGGTGACGTTTAATTCACTTGGCATTGTCTTACTTGAATCTTCCTATCTTCCCACTACTGGCCATTACCCATCTTTGCTTATGAGACGTATGACTGTTTAGTGTTACCTAGTTTTACATGACATCAGTTCTTAGTACAATAGTAGACTTGAAGTTGTACAGTATAATATCATAACTACCTGTAGTAATGATGAAAAATTTAATAGAGCACTTCATCAGAAAAGTTTCATTCCAGTAAAAGATCATTTGTAACCCGAATAGCTCAATGTATTTTTAAATTCCACTAGAGATAAAAATCTCCTGATGATTACAGGTAAACCTTGATGACTGTCAACTGACGGTTAGTATGAAAGGTTTCCAAACTGACTGTTATTAACAGATAGCCAACTATTTCAACTACATTCTGAGAATGATTGAAATCTTCACAGATCCGAGTCAATAAATTTCAGTCACAATAAAAATTTGGGTATATATTTCCTGTTACAAACTTAGTTGTATTTCGGCTTTAGACATAGAGGTTAAATTACAATTGACTGAATGTAATTTGATGAATCTTCTAGTTTCATATTTCTGTGGATTAATTACCTTCGTTTTGTTATAACTCTGTTTTCTTACGGTTAATGACCCAGCTATTCCTATTGCTTAGTATTCTCGGACACCGATTCACTCGATAAGTCCCCAAATCAGAACACGGTTGAACAAGAAAGAGATTATATTCCAAATAGCAAGTCAGAAGCCAGTAGGAAGCACAATAGGGGAAAAACGTCGGTATATTTATAGTTTTTACATAAGAAGATTCAAGAATATTCTCCGACTATCGACTAGTGCTGATTGGATAAGAATCAGCCAATCAGCGTGCACCAAAACAATCATGCATTGAGCATGCTTTAACTAGTCTATGTCCCGCTAACACGTTTAAATGTTTGTTAGTTTTTTACTCTCACTATACACACTGTGCCACTAACAATCAATCAATTTTTCTTTAGTACACATCTTTATTTACAAAATATCATAAAACAACACTAGTTGACGGGGAATAAAATGATTTAGGCCAAAATTGATTCAAAGAATCAACAATTTTATCAACCTGTTTTAAGAGAAGGAGAGAAAGAAACTTGAAACTCTACTAAATTCTTGTATATATAAAAAGATCAAACTCTTAAGTGGCTTTTGACAAGTTGAAAATCATGATGTATATGCATTACACTATTGTTGCTTGATAAAAAAGAATAGTCTAGCTTTAATTTATCAAGTAATTAAAACTTGAAAGTAACAGTAAGGTATATTATTTAGTTAACTGTACAGCATTGCAATCATATTATTTAACACAAACATATTGCTAAGAAGAAAAAGAATCGTAATTCAACTGATAGACTTAAATTTTTCAAACTATATGGCAATAAATTCGCATTGCAAAAAGTGTTTTGAAAATTTTTTAGGTTTGGTACCTCACAACTGTTAGTATTTAGAACTTCATTTAATCAGTTTTTGTAGTTATATGTGTACCATGAAAGGGTATCTCGATATTGATTGTATACACATTTCGGTGGGTTTTAGGATTATCTCTAACAGTGGAAATCATGGCGCTTATTTCCTCCTACCACGGACACGACAGATTAGTGTTTCAGGATACCATATTCATGAAAATGCTGGTGAGTATCCGTAATCAGTAGCTTAGTAAGTAACCTGTTGGAGTTTCAGCGTAATAGAATTAAAGGTGTATTGAGAATATGAAAATTAACACTAGAATCCAGGTATATCTAAGTTATGAGATCAAATATGGTGAAACGTTCTACTTTGATTCTATTACAAGCCACAGTGCAATGTATTAAAATGTTCCTCTTAAAAAAAATGTAATTTTATTATGAAAAGGTTTAAACATTCTTGTCATAAACAGTGTCTTGTTGATTCAAGTTTCCACAACAGTCAGTCTGTACGATAAACGATAGTGTAGGTTGGCTTTATTCTAAAGGAGCTCCTGAACTCGATAAACAGAGAAAATTGAGCATAAACAACCTTGATTAAATGCATTTATTCTTAATAGATTGAGGAATTCATTTTCACTGCTAACACATCTCATATGTTTTGGATGATCAGTCATGAGATTCATTTGATATATACTAGGTGACATGGCTAAGTCAACCGCAGTTTTGTTAAAATTGATAGAAGTCTGAAGGAAGGGTTTTTTTGATGTAGGAAATGATTAACACGTTACTTATTGATTGATCTTTTCAAACTAAAGAATATTGAGTCGGGTCTTAATATTATTTAACAGAAACACCTATATGAAAAATTATCCAAAACAAATTTTATATAGTTTTGACTTGCATAAATAACACCACTGAATGATTCAAAAAAATACCGGACGACTTTAAAACTAATTGATTACTTAATGAGGACCAGTGAAACATTTTTCTTCCTAATACTTCAAAGCTGGTCGATTTCATATAGGTGAAATTGAAATATCATCGCTAGTTTAAGTAACTGGAAGTTGTGTGAACTGTGCTTTTATTTTAAGTGGTTGGAGTTAGTCAACAGGGGACCTTGAATTTAGGTTTTCTACTAGTTGGTACTTACCTTTGTGATGCCAAGTCACCTGAACTAGTGACCATGTTGCAACATTGTAGGTAGGATTAAGTCAGCACTAAGGTCTAGATAAATATGTCATTGGTCACTGTAAAACTGAGAGATGTAGATTCAAACTCCCCAAAGAGACATCATTCCTCTGAAGACCGCAGGTGTGAGTTGCTGACAAATGCTAACCAGCACGAAGCTCATTTTCAGTATTTCCTACCAACTACCTCCGGTAACCTATTATTAAGCAACATACGGTAAAATATCCGACCTAAGTAATAACAAAATATGAAGATATTTCGACTTAATCGATATTACAAAATTAATTATAAGTCAATCTTAAAGCTTCTTCAGCTCAACTAATTAAAATCAAAGTTTCTTAACATGGTCTTGTAATCTCATGAATACAAAGTGATAAAATTTACTGATTTATTAAAGAATCTAAATTGTAACAACAGTAACTGTGACTTACATAGATTTTATTAATTAAAATCACTACATTACCGACCGTGTAACAATATGTTTTAGTCAAACATGTACATAACAATGAATATGAATAATTTGGCGAAAGAAAATCCCACCCATAAAATGGTTACTTAGATTTTATATAAAATAACTAATTCTGTTTAATGAACAAGAAATTCGTGAAGAATTGAAATTAACTTGTTAAACAAGTAAATAAAGGGTAGAAAATGCATGAACATTGTACATTTAAACGCTTTAATTAATTTTATTTTTAGTAACATGACAAACTCCTGTAGTTGTCTAGTGTGCAGTCTCTTTTTATTATCAAATTTATGGTGTATGGCACTTATGTCGACAGACATAAGTAAGTAAATTTTGGGTGAACATAGGATTTAGATGGCCCGGCTGGTCAACATTGCTTTGGAGGTCAGCGCGCTGAAGGACTCGACATTTTGACGGATAGCGTGGCACAGATTGTAGTAAAAGAGAAAGTGCCGCGGTGAGCAGAACTACCGCAAAAGCGACTGTTTAAAGGGCGAAAAAATGTGATGTATACTACTTATGCCTGTCGATATAAGTATATAAAACACATCAGGAGTGGAATGCCGGGCAGCAGAAGGTTGGAAAGATCAGATCTAAGATAACACGAACAGAGAGTAATTGAAATAACAACACGAATGAGGGGACGATGAAGTTTGTAAGCGAAAATTGATGGAAGAGTTGCAAATGAAATATTTAACATATGGTTCACATATTTTACGAAGATATTTTGTAATTTAGTATTAAACAATAAATCGAAATTTTCCACCTGTGTTCATTCACAATAAATTTATTTGAAAACAATATAAATCTAGCGCATTATATCATAATTAAATATTCACTGGAAACTGGGAAGCACCGGACAGGTATTTTTCTCTAGTATATGACTTCTTGGTAGTATTCACCTACCAGATTCTCGTTAAGGGATCTAAATATTTAAAGTTCTTCAAGAGACTTGGAGGTTCTGAGGAGGACCATATTAAGGCGAAACAGTTGTTCAGTGCTTCATTGTTTACAGTCATTGTTTCAGTGCAGATTATGGAGACTGAAGGATAGGAACAAAATCAAGATAACTAATGATCACCAATGGTCATGAAAACATTAAACGTGCGTGATCTTTGTGTATTCCTTACTCGTAGGCTTCAAGAACAATTGAACTCATAAATATCCCGAACAAACGTTGGTCTTTTTTATGTGTTCATGTTAATTCGATAAATGCACACCTGACAAATGAACTGTTTACTAACTAATTTGATGCAAATTATCGTCAAATTAATAACAATTCAGAGCTTGATCTATAACTTATTTAGTGAACAGAATTTCAAATAAAGGGTAAGTTCCTTAAAGACTGCGGATTTCAGGTTTTATGATGAAATATTATATTTTGCCAAGCACCAATTTATTGTCTATATGAAGAGCTGAATTTAAGAAAGTAATGTTTGTGCGCATAGTTTGATTAGAATACGAAATGATTTTGCAATTAAGGAGACTGATTTCTGGGGACCTCTACGGGTATTTTGAACGACGGAAATGGAAATTGGATGGATTACGGTCGACAATCGTTTCTATTGACCCTGAAAAATTATTATGCGATTATCGAGTTATGCTGCTAGTTGGTTGAAGTTTAAATTGCATCATTGGATGCTAACTCAGTATTCCTAATCATGAGGCGCTCGCCAAAAGAAACGGATGTCTTAGGTTCGATTTTCGTAATCATGGCTGTATACTGTTATGGAGTCATATACTAGAAAGAAAAACATGTCCAGTACCCCTTGATTTTCAACAGTAGATTAGACGAGGTCAATTTGTGGTGAAAACTACGTGTAAGTTAAATCAATCTTCAAAATAACCGCTTCAAGTAAATAATTAAATATTCAACTAAAATTTTCTACACAACAGAAATCGAAAAATGTATAACGTGTCGGTACAACAAATGTATTAACTTCTCGTTTTGAATCATAAAGCAAATATACCAGCAATTTTTCTTTAATGTTTACGGTTAATGACTTAGGTAGTAACTTTCATGACCTGATTGAGATAAATGATGAATAGTTTAGTGAAATTGATGGACGTAATTTTATACTTCACGCAATAAAATTACGGAAAATAGAAAGAGAACTAGATAATGGAATAAATTATTTAGAAGATTTTCTGCTTATGCGAATATGTTTAATGGTGTTCTATTATTTAAGCACAATGGATTAATTGTAAATCTTTCGTTGCAGTTTAGGAAAAAACCAACAGTTAATTAGTATTTGAACATAGACTAACAGTATGATGACATGACATGTCATCGATTATTTCAATGAATGCAGCCATCCATAGAAATAAAATTCATTTGGAAGGCTTTAAAATTCTGGTTCAAAGAACTCGAAAAAAACATGACATTCAAATGAGTCGCGAATCAACAAGGATATCTGTCTATACTATATCTACAAGAAAAAGGTCAACCGCTTATCTGACTAGGGCTCAACTAAAAGCAGTCTACAGAAATAAGACAGCGTATAGAGCCGAAAGATTCCAAGGATAGTCATTTACGGACAAGGTCATAAGTATAGGCTTTGCATTGAGCGATTATGGAATAATGAAATCCATAGACTCTACATGAGGTCAGTACTGATAATATTTCCCAGAATGTCAACAAAAGGTTTTTAATTAAAATAACGAGCTCAAAGAATAAATGGCGACTAACAACAAGTAACACAGGGGATTTTCTTTGTTCATGTTTAATTATTAAATTATAACAAGCAGAACAATTTAAAGCCAATATTTTATCCTGTTATGAGACCAATTACCTGAACTCGCCGCTATACATGTATATATATCTGTGTTTATATGTACACTGTCGACTTGAACCCAGAAAGTTGCGGTAGAAACGCTAACACATCACACACTAGTCACAATATGATATTTAGAAAAAACGAGAAGTATATAATCGTATTTTCTTGACACTTACTACTCTTGACTTGTGCATAATCCTTACATCATAATAAATATGCAGACAAAGAAAGTAGGATTTACAAAAAACTCAGAATGATTATATGTTCTAATAATTCATAACACATATAATACTTAAATGTGATGATCTGTCATTCGGTTTTATACGTCACTTCATAATGGACAAGTAAAAAGGTGATTAACACAACGTACATAGCAAATGTTTACTTATTCTGTAATAATTATTTGAAAATAGATACTTGACAAGTAAACGAAGTAGACCATATATTACAAATATTTGTATTTTGTTTTGTTGTAATTTAGTGACAAATCAAATAGGTATTTCAGCTGAGGAATCGTTTAAAGATCAATTCAGTTTGTAGGTTATATTCGTCAAGGGACGATCTTACTTATGGTAAGGATGAAAATCAGAAAGCATTGGTCAAGTGTTTAGTACTAGCTTCGAACTCATCAACAATTTATATGCTTCAACGTGATAAAAATAAAACTCATGATTTTCTGATTTGACGTTTAACATCAATTCGTGATAAATACCATCAATAAAGCATTAAAAAGTATAAATGAACGATGATAAGACTTTCAAGCTTTTCAAATTCCCATGAAGAACGAATATCATTTGATCAACGACATCAGATGTGGTTTTATTACACGAATATTGAAATTAATCAGAAGCAGATGATAAGTACAATTGTGCGTACTTAGCTAAACGCTTTTTATGAAGCCCAGTGAAATTACTTGACTGTCTTAATTGGAGTAGGTTTTGTGAAATTTGAACCTATGGTATAGCAGTTGTAAAGAGAGCACTTTGATTAATTAATCACATATATAAACAGTGTAACTTATGTTAGGCCATTTAGATTAGTTTAAACTAACGAATCATTAAGTTATTTATACTAATAAATACTCATTTGAACAATAAAAGTGGAGAAGATTTGTAGATCAGGTGGATGATTCTGGTTGGGTTTAGTTCTCTGAGCTGGATGGTCCACTCGTGGAGCATTCATCGTTATTCTGAACGACATCAGCAGCAGCACAAACTCCAGGTCGAAGTCTGTAGAACTTTGTGCTGATGTCATTCAGAATAACGATGAAAACTCCACGAACAAACCATCCACCTCAGAGAACAAAATTCCACCAACAAAAGTAAGCTCTTCATTGGTAAAAATAAATATGCTTAATTAATTATAATTATTATTGAAACGAGTTGCTGTTTCTCAAGGAATGCGTCATTGTTCAACCCAAACAATAATGTACACTCTAAAATTAGTGAAAACATATGAATTTGTCAAGTTAGTCTCAGATGTTTGTTGGGAGTGATGTGTTTCATACTTTGCATCATGAAATAACTTGAGTTATGAAACAACTGAAAACTTGAAAGTACTGAACAGTTCTTTCTTTTTAGTATCAAACTCTGCATAAGTGTGCATCCATGACTCCACTCTCGGTGCGAAACCAGGACCTTCAGGTCAATTGATGAGCTCTTAACATTTAGACTACTTAGTGGGTATTCATTAGTCTACATTTATAATTACCATCAGTTCGAGATATTGTACAAGCAGCTTTCAATACTATTGATAAATACATGTTCCATATACGACATAGTTGGACTTTACTGGTCATGGTTTCACACTAGAACTCAGGGAATTACCTATAATGAAAAGCCATTATTTAGTGCATGTTCATTATTAGTGTAAGGCATCTGTGAAGGTTGTTGAATTTTATAGTTTACATTATAAAATGACCTCAAATGACCATTGAAAACCTAGGAAATACTGAACAACTGTTTCGTGTCATAAAGTTGTACATAAAATAAAATTGTTCAATAAAACGGAGAGAAACCATGAACAATGGGTGATAAATAGAAAGAGAGAGTAAAATATACAGTAGGTTTGAGATTTCAAACTTTGAAATAGAAACACTGAAAGAATGGCAATCATTCATGTTGGTAATGATAATGTAAATGAAACTCACTTAATGTATTTATATTATTTGATAATGTAGCTGATCGATTAGATACAGTCGGATGTATTGTTGCACATTGTCTGTTATATTTTAAACTTTGCAAATCTTCATATGAATTCCTCGGATTAAATAAACTTGGCCGTTGTGATAATTCTTTCTTTAATGTGGAACATAATTAGGTGAAAAAAGCAGAAATAAAAATATATTCTGGTTTGAAAAAGAATTCAATTTATGCATTAAAACTTGAGAAAATCAGAAACAAACAGTTGGATAGTGAATAACAGTGAAATCCAAGACACACGTTTCATCTTTGTTTGGGGTTCCTTGACTAGATATGTTCGCATTTTAGGGCCGATTTTCACAACGGAACTCAAAATCAGTATTTTAAGTTTAAGGATCTCTGAATTTAAATTCAACATACTGTCTTGGTTATTGACTAACTGTGCTCATCTTGTTTTGGTATTGAACATACAAACAGTATTTCCGGACCCTGCTCAGTAATACAACCGTTAGACTTTTGCAACCAGGAATGGATTTCTATCAGTTTACTAAGGTTTAAAGTTGCTTGAACGCATGTTCATTTCAATGCTTTTTCTTTTCATCACTAAATGAGATAATTAACACGGATGATTACCTAAGTAACTGATTGACTTACTAATTTATGCTGTTTATAAAACAAATGTTAAGTATTAAGTAGTTTACGAGGTTAAAGAAAGTTTCTTTCCTTAATAAAATATATAGATCACTTTGAATTCATTTCATCTTATAAACCGGTTCCTTTGATTTCACTAAAACTGTTGTCGTTAAGCAAATGTAACACTATGAAAATAGAAATTTCGTTTGTTGGGAATAACCAAGAGATAGAAATTCACTTGATCTTAAGAAATAACAGTTTTCATAGTAGAAAAAAATAATAAGATGAATGATTAACAGTAACAAAAAATTGATTCCATTAAATGTCCTTATTTCAGACTGATAGTTCATAAGGTGGAAATTTATTTGTTTTCAATTTGGATTTATGCTATAACATGATCTAAATAATTCCATTGAATAGTTCATTCTATTTTTCTTAAACCGATCTAAACAAGTATTCATCAGTTGTCCTATGATAAGTTTTAGCTTGTTTAAAAATGTATGTAAATAATTGAGTTTCTTTCGTTAGATAATAATTCCTCTCTATTGCATACCAACTGTTGTCTTTTAGTATTATCAAAGTTAAGAAAATAATCATATTTGTTATCTCTTAGGTTTTTTTACAATGTAACCCATTCATTATCATTGTGTCAGTTTGGTCAATCATAACATGCAGTAATTTTGCTATATATATATACATAGAGAGAGAGAGAGAGAGAAATCAATAATTCTAAGCTTGTTGGCATTTGTTTATAGATTTAATAGAAATATTTCCAACCATGATAATGAATAGGACGATTATAACACTGACAAAGAATGAACTCTTAAAAGCCTATCAAACTTCTGTCGTTCCGTTGCTGTCACGGAATTTCAAACTTATCTATTGGCAGTTTTCTTATCACATGTTTGAACGTAATTGACAAACAGTCCTGAAAACTTATGAGATTCAAATCTGTATCCCTCAGAATCACAGTCAGATAAGTTAAAAGTAAGTTGTTAGGCAGCAATCGACCTCCCATAGGACCAAGTTATGCTATTTAAAACTCGTCACCAAGGTATATCTCTTAGTTTGAAGAAAATATCTTACTCCTATTAGATGTCACAGGATAGCTAGCTAATAGATTAAAAGTGAATGTATTTATCACTAATAAACAAAGTAGCATATCGATATAATCAAACTCGTGAATAACTTATTAATATTAAGTAGATTTATAATGACAAAAATCATACTTAAGATGAAGTTTTTTTCTCTTAGCTGGACGGTTCGATCCTAAAGCTTTCACTGTTCTCCTGAACAATATCATCAGTACAAACATATACCTTGAGCTTGTGCTGATGATGTTGTTCAGAATAACCACGAAAGCTCCAAGATTAAACCGTCCAGCTAAGAGAACAAAACTCCATCTAAATCATCCATTTAAGCCACAAATCGTCCCAAACATATCAGAAGTCATAACTAAAGAAAAAGCAAGGGATGATTTATGTCCTGTAAATGCTATCAATGAAACTCATATTGTGTGGTTCATTTAGTTCAAAACTTAATATATGGAAGTGATTTTATTCATAAGTTCATTATTTTTTAACTTCACCTGTAGTTCTTCCAAAGTCACTGTCGGCCCCAAGCCCGTATAGAGGTTGACGGTCGAACATGGGGTCAGCAACCCTGCTAAGAAAATGATGCTATATTTGAAGATATTTTAAGTTAACCTAATCTGAGAATCGAACGAAGACTCTGTGACACAATACCAGATAAGCTAGCTACTTCGACGTACCACAGCCCAGTCCTAGTTAGGAAGAGGGAACACGAACAACAACAACCAGAATAGTCGGAAATACACTCATTTATATATTGATTCATACACCCATTTTCGACTAATAATTACGATGAAATCACATATATAATAAATCATATACTGATTATAGTTCATGTTAACTTAATACAAGAATATCGTGTATTATACAGAATAAAAAGATCATACGGGAAAACAAAACCGAATATTACACTGAATAATCATCATATTGAATTAAAATGGAATTAATGTTGAACCAAAAATCATAATCAATAAATCAATCTAATTTTGACTTTCCTTCCCACCATATCAAACGATAACCAGGAAAAATCATTTAAACCAATTAAAATTTGTCCTGGGAGTTGGAGGAGGAATTATGACGCCTCATAGTAAAAGCCGAAACTCATCAGAATTCACGAGGCCGATGCCCATTCTAACGACCAGCGCGACAATTAAGGTAGGTACACGGAATGTCCGAACAATGTAGGAAACGAGGAGGAATAGTCAAATAGTTACGGAAGTGAGGATATACATCTTGGCGGTTTTCGAAATAAGTGAAAACCATTGGGCCCCAGATGGACAGAAAAGATTAGATAAAAGAGATGCTGCTGCACTCTAGTCATGAGGAAGAAAATGCTCCTCACATGTAAGGAGATTCTCTAACGCTGTCCAAAGAAGCACAAAGAGCACCTATAGGATGGGGATCTCATGGATCCAGAATCATCAAAGCATTCCTTAAAACAAAGAAGGTGGGGAACACAAGGAATGTTATCCAGTGTTGTGTACAAATAGGTTAATTGATTTTCCTATCTCGGCGCTGACTGATCAGAATGCTGTTTTTAGGAATTTTCTAAAATTCTTAGAATTCTGTTAATTCGAAAATCTGGACATTTCACCAATTCAGTTTAGTCCATAGTTGATAGTCGATCAGTTTTTTCGAAATATACTACTTTTCTGTAGACTTTAATCATTTTTTTAGTTACTAGACCAGTGGACTTCAACCATGTCGATAATGAGGCTGGTTTTCCACCAACAGCAGAGAATGACAGTTGTTCAGTATCACTGATTGCATTGTAGTTGGAAGTATGGATCATTTGATTTCAACTCTGTGGTCCAAATGATCATATACTCGCTGCAAGAGCTTAGTCATCTCTCTTAAGGATGGGTATAAATGTAAACAGTCTTTAAGGAAACCCCATACTAGGATGAAACAATCATCAATTGCTTACTGGTTTTCAATGAATGTCTAGCTAAAGTCGATTGGTAATGTAAACTATAGACTGAATAACCTTTATTTACGTCAAAAGGGTGGTCAGTGTTTTTTATTTTTATTTTTCCGAATTGTGATAACTAACAAATTTGAGCTATAAAGAAGAAAATCACATACTTTATTTATTTAAACGTAAACATCGGTACAAGGAGGTACCAAATAAATATGTGCCACACTTCGTATTTCAATTTGTGTGAGAGCTACAATAATGCCAAGGCCCTCCAAACCAAAACAGGTGGTTTTCTTAGGAGACCACTTGCTGAGCCTTTGACCTAGAGGTCTAATCTACAAGACAGTGGAGCAACGTTAGGAGATGCAGTCCCATGATAGCCGGTGGATATGCACTTCTGAGGAATCCGATGCTGGGAAAAAGCGGCCGTCTAGTGCTTTTAGGTTTCTAATAGTGGTCTAACATTGATCTGTTCATGATTTCAACCAAAACTCAACAATCTCCACAACCCTATACTGATAATGGACAAATTCACAAATAAATACAAAATAAAAACAAAACCAACCTCTAATTTGTTAATTTTCTCTTCTAAATCTCGATTAGTCTCTTCCAGTGCATTAATACGTAAATGTTGTTTTGAAACTTCATTTAATAATTGAAGATTATCCACATCAGTTGGTAGTTGACTAATATTTTTATTACGATGATCGGTTGTACAGTTTTTATTGACCAAATAAGATAACTAAGAGTGAAAAATAAATACGTGTATTTTCTTATAAATTTACATATATAAAAATATATCTAGAAGTCGTCAACGTTTTTACTAAGAGTATATATATATATATATATATATGGTTTATCCGTAAGTACTGACTGATGTCATGTTTGTCTACTCTTTGGTACGCTGATCAAAATATATCAGTTAAGATGTGGTGTGGCCTCTAAAATATGTAGATCGATATAGCGAAAGTGATCTACTTACAAACTATAACGTTCACACGATATCGAGTTATGTAAACTACTAATTGTATTACAAGTAAATCATTAGAATCACATTAGTACTTGAAAGATCAGATATGCATAATGTCGATCACTACTCAGAATTATACTTACCAAACGCAGTGTAGTATTAATGCCATATTATTGTAACTTCATTAAAACATCTTCTCAACCGCTATTAGTACATTTGTTGGAAAAAAGTCTTAGTGAACCAATGGTGATGAACAGCTGGCATGTAGGTAGAAAATAACATATTTAACAGAAAGGGGATGCCAGGAGATAGTTTTATTAATTGTCATCCAACGCATACTTCCAAGATTATTTATGTTTAAAAGACATTGTTAAATTAGTACTTCTAGACAACAATATACTTTATTTAGAAACTATTCAAAGTGATAGTCAGATCAAAGGAACATATAAATCAAACAACTTTTTCTTTGGTTTGATTAACTGTAAAATACTTCAGTTATGAGAAAAAACTTACTGACGGGTGCAGTAAAAACATTATTATTATTGTTATTATTATTGGTCCTCCACCTTTATAGACACAATTCTAAATCAATATATGGATCAACACATCAAGCTAACCATGATAATGTACGAACTGATATAAAAGACAGAATATGTAAAGCGTAGTTAATACTGCTAACATAATATTTAGTATGGTGAATAGTCTAAAGGTTTAAACAGATTGGCTACTATAAAACTAATTTAGTATATGACCTGGGAAATAAACTTAAATGCAGTAAATGAGTTGCTTTGTTTATATCTATTAAGCGTTAAGTTATTTACTAAAAAACTAGGTCACCGACCTGTAGTAGGTATTGGGTTCCCGACCATAGCTAATAATTTGATGCGGTGATTGAACTTGCCTGTGGTTTTGAGCCAGTCAGAGTATATTGGGTGAAATGTTTTTTTCTTTAGGTCCTACCAGTAAAAGTTGGTCAGTTATGTTATAGTAATTTAAAGACAATTACTTAAGGTCCGAGAACAAAATCATTTACCTGATTTTACTCTAATGACAAGGCAGTAGGATATTTTCCTCAAACAACCTGGATCTACACCGATACTGTCTTATTACGACAAAAGAAGAGGATTAGATAAGGTCAATTTCCAAAAAAAAACGCACCCCACATTGGCTCAAGAATCCCCGCCGGCAGTAAGGCCTAAAAGGTATGGGGTTAACACATGAGAAACAACATAAAAAAGGCTAGTTGACCAACCCAAAGTACTTATCCCGAAGCTTCTGCAATCATGCGCTTAGGTAATTAGGACTAATAATTGGCCAGTCTTTTTCAGCTTCATCAAGTAAAAATATCCTTACTCACTATGCCAGATTTGTCAGTATGTGAATATCAGAATAACGAATAACAAATAGAAAAATAAAGTGAAAATTCCCATTTTGCCATTTGGTAAATAAAGAAGGAACGAATTGAGCGAAGAAATTTCTTTTCAATTAGTTTTTCATCATGGCTCTACACTAATATATATACGTTTTACAATAATAATATAATACTCATCGAGTGGATACGTTACGTAATAATTATATAATGACATTTAAATTAACATTAATTAATTGGAAGAAAGAGGATTATTAATATTCAAAGTGATCAAGAAGTTGCTAAGTTGCGTAATGTAAGAAACAAAGAAGGAACAGAATTTTAACGGATGGTCAATAGGATGGTAGTTACGTAAGAACCAAGAGATGAATGTTGAGAAGTTATTAAGTTCAAAAGCAACAGAAATAAAATTACAAAAGTTTAAAAAATTACAAAAATTACAAAAGTTTTAAAAAATTACAAAAAATGGAAGAAGTGTGAAAAATAGTTCTTTTGAAGGAAATCTTAAACTGATGGCCAGGGCAGGGAAAGTGGTTGTGCGAATCTCTTTTGTATGCAAAGATCAGGTTTGTGAACATGGATTGCGATGGCTTCCGCAATGTGCAAGAGGCGCACTCGTAAACCATGTGGCAAATTAGATGGGATATTGTAGATAACCTTAAAAGCTTTATTCAATTCGACTTGATGACCTGTGTCAACCAAGTGAGAAAGAATAGAACTTTTAATCACTTTTACCTGTCCTTTGTTTAACCACGACGGATGATGTTCAGTAATGCGATGACGGACTTGCCGAATTGTACGCCCAATATAACTGGCTCCACAGGAGCAGTTGAAACGATAGATACACATAGATTTGGCGAATTCAGGCAGTCTGTCTTTGTTGGCTGTTCTTATCTTAGGATAGTTGTAGAAGATTGCATTTAATCTGGCAGCATTAAATGTTTTTTGTACGGCTTTTCTTAGTTTCTGAGTTAAGGTTTCTTCAATGGTGTCATTTATGAATTGTAGTTTTATGAATAGTACCTTCTTATGGACGGTGGGTATCTTTGTCCTTGTTTTCTTCTCCATCATATGTTTGTCGATGAATTTCATGGGATACCCATTCATGCTAAGTAGGTTCCGAATATTATTCAATTCTTCTTCGATCGTGTCTTCAGAGCAAATCATTCTAGCCCGATGTGTCAAGATTTTTATCAAGTTCCTTTTGTATCTGATTGGAACTGCACTGTAGAAATGAGTGTATTGTCCTGCTGAAGATTTTCTGTGTACCCCTCTTTTTAAAGTTCCGTCTGCTCTTCTTTTTAGCTGGACATCTAGAAATGATATGCTGTCGTTCTGTTCATCTTCTGATGTAAAATTAATTGATGGATGAACGTTATTAAATGTATTAAGTAAATTTTCCTTATCATTCTCTTTTTCTAGTACTATGAAGGTGTCGTCTATATAGCGATAATAAGTTGGTAAATGGCTAATTATGCTTTGAAGTGGTCCGTTTTCCAGTTTTGCAAGGAAAATATCAGCCAGTAGAGGGCCCAATGGTGATCCCATGGCAACTCCATCTAGCTGTCTATAGTATTCGTTGTCAAATCTGAATTGTGCATTCATTGTGCATCTGAGAATTAACTGTTTTATCGCGGATGCTGGAATTGGGGTTTCTATGCGTCTCTCTGTTAGTTCATTGCAAATAAAATCAACTGTTTCTTGTAATGGAATGTTAGTGAATAAAGATGATACATCAAGTGATAACATGAAATTATTCTTGACTGATAGATTTTTTATGTTCTCAACAAATTCAAAGGAATCCTTGACACTATGCTTGACAATTTCTTTGTGTAATGGTTTAAGAATTTGCACCAACCATTTTGCTATAGTATGATACGCTGAGTTATTCATATCTAAAACTGGTCGAAGGGGTAAGCCACTTTTGTGTGTTTTTGGTAGGCCATATAGTCTTGGTGTCATCGTTCCTGTAGGTTTCAACATTTCGAACATCTTTTCTGAAATAAAACCTTGTTGTTTAATTTCTTTCAGTGAATCTGTTAATTGCTTTTCAATCTTATCTGCTATGTCGTTCTTCACAGCCAGTTTCTGAAATTTGCTTTTATCATTTAAAAGGGCTTTCATTTTGTTTATGTAGTCATTTTTATCCATGAGTACTATTCCATGTCCTTTGTCCGGTTTCATGATTAATAAATTGTCATTAGTTTTAAGTTGTCTTAAAGCTTCTGTATGTTTTTTCGTCAAAAACCCTTTCGTGTTGTGTCTATGATTTAAATATTTAAAACAACAGTCGACTAGTGTTGATTTAAATCTTTCAACATTATCTTTTGATGAAGCTACTAGTTCTGTCGTTTGAGCATAAAGATTTTCGAATTGAATCTCAACGTCCATTTTATTTACTGTTTTCTTGAAGTCACAAAACTTAGGGCCTAATGATAACGCTTCTAACGCAGTTTTATCCAGTATAACACTAGAGAAATTGTGCACGTACTGACCTGGATTGGATGGAAATTCTTTACTTTTCCTTTCTTGAGTTAACAACCATCTCAAGAAAGGAAAAGAAAAGAATGAAACTTAAGAAAAATCTAGACAAACAGATCCCAGAAATGAAATTTCCATCCAATCCAGGTCAGTACGTGCACAATTTCTCTAGTGTTATACTGGATAAAACTGCGTTAGAAGCGTTATCATTAGGCCCTAAGTTTTGTGACTTCAAGAAAACAGTAAATAAAATGGACGTTGAGATTCAATTCGAAAATCTTTATGCTCAAACGACAGAACTAGTAGCTTCATCAAAAGATAATGTTGAAAGATTTAAATCAACACTAGTCGACTGTTGTTTTAAATATTTAAATCATAGACACAACACGAAAGGGTTTTTGACGAAAAAACATACAGAAGCTTTAAGACAACTTAAAACTAATGACAATTTATTAATCATGAAACCGGACAAAGGACATGGAATAGTACTCATGGATAAAAATGACTACATAAACAAAATGAAAGCCCTTTTAAATGATAAAAGCAAATTTCAGAAACTGGCTGTGAAGAACGACATAGCAGATAAGATTGAAAAGCAATTAACAGATTCACTGAAAGAAATTAAACAACAAGGTTTTATTTCAGAAAAGATGTTCGAAATGTTGAAACCTACAGGAACGATGACACCAAGACTATATGGCCTACCAAAAACACACAAAAGTGGCTTACCCCTTCGACCAGTTTTAGATATGAATAACTCAGCGTATCATACTATAGCAAAATGGTTGGTGCAAATTCTTAAACCATTACACAAAGAAATTGTCAAGCATAGTGTCAAGGATTCCTTTGAATTTGTTGAGAACATAAAAAATCTATCAGTCAAGAATAATTTCATGTTATCACTTGATGTATCATCTTTATT